ATATGAGCCTCCCATTCTGCCTAATTGAGTCAACTTCATGCAGGAAATGCTTACATCATAAATCATCCATAGTTTCATTTGTAATCCCTTTTAGGAATATTTGTTGTTATCTTCTCGTTTCAAAACCATCTATGAGTCATACTGTAAATTTTGCATAAGCATGAAAGGCTGGTACAGATTACAAGTTACACATGGTTGAACATCACACCACGATTACAACATATCAGGCTTCTTATCATGAACATAAATGGGCCTTTATCCAGATAGCATATCCAATAAATACAAACACTTCAGGACAATTCTATGACAAACAGCAGAATGGCAACTGCTCATATGTCTCCAAGTCCAAGACAAAAAATACTTAGGAGGTCCACATGCAACCTGCTTGACTGTTATATTTAGCTTCACATACCTGAAGGTCGCTAAGGTAACGCCCATTGTGGTTTCCCCCAAATATATACATCTTATCTTGCACCACAGTTGCGCCATGCTGCAGGAATAAAAGTTCATATTAATGCTATGAACAGAGGAAGGGGAGAACTGGGATAACAGTTCACAACTTAAAAAATAAAAATAAAATAGGCAAGGTAGCCAAGGCCCCAGGTGCATATGGCATACCTCGTAACGAGGTTTGGGCCGCTGCCCATTAACAGATAATGGAGTCCATTCTTCGTGAACACTGACAGCACTAAGACCTTCCAGAATAACAACTTTGTCCTGTGTCTCCACTGAACTTCCATTCTCAGATATGGTTTTAGGTTCTGGAACCGATGTTCCATTTGTTGAAGCCAGAATAACCTTGGGATCTTCCTTTGGTTTCTTGTAAACAGAAATGCAGTAAGCAAAATGTTAAGTTTATTTCACAAACAATTTATTAATCAGGGCATTGAGATGAAACTACAGCTGATAGACCAATACTTTCAAAGATTAGAGTGAATTCTAAATAGATAGGCAAAAAAACATAAGAAATATACTTTTGACAGGAAACAACCCATGCGTACCCACTGCATTTATGAGGTTACAGAATGCAACTTACATGCATTTCAATATCTACAACAGGCTCAGGGTTGAACTCAGGAACCCTTGAGTACCATCCAGGATCTTCCTCCTACCAAAATACCAGCGCATTAAATCGTTGTGCACAGGGTGAAGAATACAATGTAAATAGTCATACCTCTAAGATTTTAACAAACAGCCGCATCGCCTCTGCCGATGGCATACTTCCAAGCCCATGCCAGCTGAAAATACAAATGTGTAAAGAGACGATCATGCTTTAAAGACATGCAGTATCAACATTTGATTGAAGGTCTATGGATATTCCTGCCACCGGTCAGCTCTCTAGCTTATCAGTCCAAAATTTAAATTACACAAGACAGAAATCCTCTTCTAACTTCTGGGCATGTGATAGCATTCCGTTCTAATACTGGCCCAATGATAAGCAATAAAATAAGGCAGCAGCACAAGACAGATAGCGACATCATCTTATATTAACTAATAACTAGCATGTGAAGTTTCAACCTCCAATTCGATCACCAATGTTTCCGTTTCTCCATAAATTTAACCAGAACTATCAAGTTCGCTAATACGGAGACAACTTCATGCAGGATCGCACTGTAGGTGATACTAACCTTGTCCATTTGCTCTGCTCCACAGGGTTCCATGCCCTGGGTTTCGGCACATTGCAAGGCCCCACTGTTGCCTACACCAAAACGAACGCAAAAATTCATTCCGACAGCCAAAGCAAATCCTCCCTCCCAAAAGCCAGTGATCAACAAACTAACGCTATAATTCAACCCTGCGCATCATCAATTCCACCTAGATCCACTCCACGCATTTCCCAACCCCCCATCCAACCGAGACAAATCGCGTCACCTGCTGGTAGAGGCCGTAGAGGAGGAGGGCGACGTCGTTCTGGAAGCGGGAGATGGCGGACGAGGAGGTGGCCCCGCCGGCCCCGAATCCGGCGTAGGCCGCCGCGGCGTAGAAACGGTCGGGGTAGGCGAGTCCGGAGCTCGCCATGGCCGCGCGCCCGCAACGCAAGCCCTAGATCTCTCCCCGCCCACCCACTCGGATGAGATCTCGCGCCCACTGCCCGCGAGGCGGAGAGCACTAGCGTTCGCCCCTCCTCCTCCTCCTCCTCCTCGCCGCGGCGGAAATGGAAATCTGCAGCGATTGGAGACGAGAGAATTCGAGATCTGGGAGGCTTCGCTCGCTCGACCGACGCTCGCTTCGCGGGCGATGAATGATGGATGGCTTTAACGCTCGTTCTCCGAGGTGGCGCGGGGGTGTCCACGTGTCGGTGACATGGTGGGGGCGAGTGACGTGGTAGGAGAGTCGTCGCGGTCGCCACGACGACGGTTAATATGAACCGGGTCTACGGCGCGGGTCACCGTCACCGTGAACCGCGTCTAGTCTACGTAGAGGAGGGTAGGCGCGGGTGCTGGAGTAACGAACGTGTGGGAAGAACTAGGAAGGTTGTCGTGGTGTTGGTGGGAGATCCATCCTCATTCCTCGCACCGCGGTACCACTAGCAAAAAAAGCGCTAGGCGGCTTTATACACTGCAAATACTGTATTCAAATATGCTAAAGGTCTCAAACAAAACAAACTTCTCTGTGTTTGATGATTGCAAGCTGATGTGGGATGGGTTTGGTACAATTTCTATTGAGCACTGTAATAGAAACTCCAATCAGGTGGCTCATGAATTGGCCAGGTTAGCGTTTAGGACAAAAAAATTTTGTACTTGGGTCGATGAATCCCCTGGCTGTGTTCTGAACCATCTGGTAAACGATGTAACAATTTTATCCTATCAATAAAGCTAGCCGAATGGCATTCCCCAAAAAAAAAAACTTCTCACGTACTTCATCCGTCCCAAAATATAAGCATTTTTAGCATAGTGTTAGGTCAAACATTTTTAACTTTAACTATTAATAGAAAAAAAGTTAAAGAGATCAATAATGTAATATTGTTACTAGATTTTTCATTAAACAAATTATCATAATATGCAATTCTTTTTATTTAAAACATCTTATTTTTATATATATTGTTGGTCAAATTAGCATCTCGAAGACTGTGTCGAAGTCTAAAAATGCTTATATTTTCGGCGGGGGAGTATAATTTACACTTTACATTACTCAGGTTTGATAGTGCTAGATTTTTAGGTTAATTAGATCCATGTTATGTCATTGCAAATTTATCTATTCAAAAAAATGTCATTATAATTCATTTATTCGCAGTCATGCTACCAAAAATTTACAAAATTAGGATCATGCCACCGCCATCACATTTTTCATCCATCTCCTTCCCTTTCTGTCTTCTACTTTCTTTCTCCCGTCTTCTTCCCTCCCTTCTCCTCTTTGCTCAGCTCCTTCGATGACCTTATGCTTCACCTCCGTTTTGGGCACTATAACGAATAGCACACCATTCTTTAGCTCGGCGCGGACCTTGCTCTTGTCGCCCACATTGGGGAGCACGAGCCGCATGTTGTAGGAGCTCATGCTGCGCTCCTTCCACCACCCATCGTCGGAGCCCCCCGTTCCTTCTCCTCCTTACTGTGCTCCCCGCGGATGACAAGCATGTTGTCCTCCACCATCACCTTCACATCTTCCCGTGACAGGCCCAGCATGTCGAACCGTATTTCACCTCGTTTGTCATCATCCATGATGTCCCGAAGCATATCCGCACCTTCCCTGTCGCCGGCGATCTCCACAGCGCGACGGGGAACCCCAGCGTGACATTGTTGAACATTCAGTCTATCATGTCCAGCATCTATCGTATCAACCGCATCGGTGATCAGATCCACGAGGGCGAATGGGGATATGTTGTTCAATGCCGAGCGCGCGCTGCACGACATTCCCCTGCTGGTTCCCACCGTTCTATTACCTGACGTGCTCCTCCAGGCGGCGCGGATGGGGAGGCACGCCACAGGTGAGACCCGGGTGACGAGAGCAAATGGACCAACCGTTGCACTACCAAATAGAGAGGAAATCAAAAGCATTGAGATGGAGATCGTTGGAGAGGTCGCGTCCACCATGGCCTTTACTGTGCCAAGCATAGAGGAAAGGAGAGGAAAGAAGATAGGAGAAAGAAGGAAGAAGATGGGAAAAAAGGAGATGGATGGAAAATGTGACGACAGTGACACGATCCTAATTTTATAAAATTCCAACGGCACGGTTACGGATAGTCGAATTGTAATAACATTTTTCTAAATAGACAAATTTACAGTGGCATATATCCAACTAACCCTAGATTTTTAGACATATGTTTGGCTATGACCTCATCAATTTTATTTTCAAATATATAAAAGTATAAGCTATGCTTAAAGTTCCTTTAATGTAAAAGAAATTACAATACAAATAAACAATAGCTATGCAATAAAATAAATTACATATGTTTAAAATATAATGGTGTCATATATTAAAACAGAAAGAGAATAATTTTTCCATAAGGCTTGGTAAGGTTAACTTGCACCTATATGAATTAAAAACATTGTTTTATAGCAATACTAAACGGATGCGAATTAGGTGTGTTTAGTTCGCGAAAAGAAATTTTTTGGGTGTCATATCGGACGTTTGATCGGATGTCGAAAGGGGTTTTCGGACACGAATGAAAAAACTAATTTCATAACTCGCCTGGAAACCGCGCGACGGATTTATTAAGCCTAATTAATCCGTCATAGCACATGTGGGTTACTGTAACACATATGGCTAATCATGGATTAATTAGGCTCAAAAGATTCGTATCGCGATTTTCATACACACTGTGCAATTAGTTTTTTATTTTATTTATATTTAATATATACTTTATACATATGTCCAAAGATTCGATGTGATGTTTTTGGGATTTTTTTTCTTTTTTTTTTACTAAAACATGCTAGGGGGAGTCAGCTAGAGGGCCTTGGGCGGGCAGAAAAACACCAAAAAAGCTGGAGACCGAACAAAACCGAGCGGACCGAACCAAAGTATCGATTTATTCGGTTGTCGGATTATGCTTAACCAAACCGGCTTTACTCTTTGACCAAACCGGCCCACCCCCTCTCGCTCCACCTGACTGCGTGTGCGTGAGGTTGAGGTATCCCCAAATTTCCTTCCGCCGCCGTGCTGCTGGTCACCGCCGTGGCGAGGCGAGGCGATCAAGAGCTGAGCTACCGTGGAGGCGTGGATTGAGAGTCTGAGAGAGAGCAATGACGCCGCAGCTGCAGCCGAAGCAGATGCACTGGGCGAGGGCCGACTCCTCCGACTTCGGAGGCCAAATCCCCGCCCCTCGGAGGTAATCCTCTCGATCCAATCCACCTCAAATCCCCGCCGCCGCTGCCGCCACCTGAAACCATGTGAATTTTCGTGCCTCTGCAGCGGGCACACGGCGGTGAGCATCGGCAAGTCCAAGGTGGTCGTCTTCGGCGGATTCGCCGACAAGCGCTTCCTCTCCGACATCGCCGTCTACGACGTTGGTAATAAGCCCCACCGCTTGCTTCGCCTGATTGCAAGTGCCACGATTCAGACGATTGATTCTGTTTAGATAAGAGCGCTGAACCTTATTAGCTGTGTGAACTTCCGGATGCAACTCGTGTTTGCAGAGAATAGGATTTGGTACACACCTGAATGCAATGGGAGTGGCTCGGATGGACAGGCAGGCCCCAGTCCAAGGGCCTTTCACGTAGCTATCGTCATTGACTGCAACATGTTCATCTTTGGCGGCCGATCAGGCGGCAAGAGGTCTGCGATTCATACGGCTATTTGCTGGGATTTGAAAAGCACCCTATAAAGAATTGCCTTATTTGTTGTTTATAACATGATGTTCATTGCGCAGATTAGGTGACTTTTGGATGCTCGATACTGGTAAACTTCTATACTTTCTCAAGCATTTTAAGACCCCTTCCTTAATTTGTTTGGGCGTATAGTGGAGGTTCCCGTGATTACTAATAACCGTCATGTTGCCTCTTTCATATTCCAGACATATGGCAATGGTCAGAGTTAACCGGCTTTGGTGATCTACCATCACCTCGAGAGTTTGCTGCTGCTTCAGCCATAGGAAACAGAAAAATTGTTATGTAAGCATTCCATCTAATGCAAGTTTCCCTTTCATTTCTGGGTACCATCGCTTATGAGTTATGAAGAACATTTGGTTCATCCTGATTCAGGTATGGCGGTTGGGATGGCAAAAAATGGTTGTCGGATGTATACATCATGGACACAAGTAAGTTAACTTCCTGTTCTTATTCAATCAGGGTTGAGTATTTAATTTATTTTGTTCAGGATGGCAATAAAAAAATCAATCAATTAATAACTACACTCTCTATTGGACAGTGTCACTTGAGTGGACAGAATTATCAGTTACTGGATCAGTGCCACCTCCAAGATGCGGACATTCTGCCACAATGATCGAGAAGAGGTTGCTTGTATTTGGTGGCAGGGGTAACTTACATTTCTTGACTTGACTTGTATTTGCTGATGATTTTTAATTATTAATGAATCAATGCATAACTTTTGGCCATCAACATATATTTCTGATTATTTCATATATTTTTTTCAATAGGTGGAGCTGGGCCCATAATGGGTGATTTATGGGCTTTAAAGGGTGTCACTGAAGAAGGTACATCTTCCTAGTTGCTTGTAAATCTACTTATATTGAGAGGGAAGGAGGGTGGGATACTAACTGCTATTTAAAACTGGAAAACTCAACTATTTGCCTGGGAGGGAGGGGGAGAAGAAGAGGAGTGGCCGAATGGGGAGGTCTCAGGCCATCCTAACTGCTATTTACAACATCTGACACACAATAGTTGGTGGTTTAACCATTTGCCTCTCAATAGAAGCTTACTGTAGTTGATAATATGCCACTTAATAGATGTGCACACTCCATGTATTGCCCACTTTGACCAAATATTTTTGCATGTTTCTCCTGTTGCAATGGTGAGCCCACATTTATTTTTGTTTTAATAAACTTGCCTTTCTTAGTTGATGTTAGCTATTGTTAATTGGAAATGAAAAACCTGGTTATTGCCGACTACTGAGTGTGCTTACATTCTTATTCCTTCAATGAGATTACACAATTTTTTGATTGCCAGCACCTGATGTTTATTTTATTTTGGAAGATAACGAGACACCAGGTTGGACACAATTGAAGCTCCCAGGACAATCTCCATCTCCACGATGTGGTCACTCAGTAACATCTGGTGGACCTTATGTATGCAATTTGGTGTCCTTATATTTGCTTTCATACCATTTCTCTTTCTAGTTGCTTCGTATTTAATTGCTGATATCTCAATTGAGTATTACGTACTGCAAGTTCTCTCAGTTGATCGTTCTGTTATACTAGAATAGGTATCAGAAACTATTGCCCAGGAGTAGAAATGGAATGCTGGTTCACATTTAATACTTGTTGACACAGTACAAACAGCAAACTAGGGATGCTCAGTGTTTTGCCATCACACTATTCAATGTTGATGTTAAGTTTTCTGCTACAATGAATATAATGGTTTTTCAGTATATGACATACTGTAGTTGGTCATACCAAAATTTTTATTTTTTCAAAGCCCGCCTGTCTTATTCTTTACTTGGAGACTCCACAAAGTAATGCTTTTGTTCATACCAGGTAGCTTTGCAAATTTACGCTATCCATCAGTTCTATAGTCACAAAGTAATTCTTTTGTTCTTTACTGGGTAGCTTTAGCAAACTTACGCTATCCATCAGTTCTAGAGCTTATGTAATTGGAAGATGGGTTTCTTCTCCTGGAACTATCCATCAGTTCTAGACATTTTGTTGTCCAAACTTTTAATTCATTGCGCAATAGCATTACTAACAACCATATATCTTTTGGTTAGCTCTTGCTGTTTGGAGGACATGGAACTGGTGGTTGGCTAAGTAGGTATGATGTGTACTACAATGAATGTATTATTTTAGACAGGGGTAAGCACCAGCAAATTTTCTGATTTTTTTTTCATGTTGTTGTGAGCATGCATTGGGATCATTGATATGGAATTAGCATTACATTTTTCTTGATGTCAACACATGCACTTATTTTGACTGTCTTGTTGACACCCATCAGTTACATGGGCAAAATCCCTTATATCATGGGACGGGGGTAGTAGATGGTTTTCATAATCACAAAAGAGTGCAATCAGTGCATGCTGGTAACTAAAAAATAAGATGTGATTCCACAGTGATACAAAATCTACTTCTCATACTAAGACAGAGTAGCTTTGACAAAACATTCTTTGCAATATAACTGCAAACAAATCCCAACATTGATCAAGAAAACTGGAAAAGTAAGCGGGTTAATATGGTACTCTTGATCGTTACTACCCGAACAAGCATTAGGGAAGACAGCTAGCAGGTGGTTGGGGTATCGAGTTATCCTACTACTACCATGGTACTCAACCACATGCTTCATAGCCAGCTTGGGACTTGACACCCATAAGAGTAATTCTGTAACCTCAACAACTTACAGCAGCAATTATTATAGATACACTAACAGAAAGCATATGTGCTCTCCTCCTTAAGTCATGGCTACCTTACATGTCCTGCACTCTTTGAGGCATTCAGCGCACACATCATATGTCTGCTCTGCACCGCTGTGTGAAATTGTGATCACATGCATCCACTTCCCTGATCTTCATGTTCTAGAGTCCAGACAATCCCAAATATCATGTCTTACAGAGCATTCTGTTGCTTATGACCAGCGGATAGAACTTATATCTGTTAGGTTGTTAGCATACCACTTGGCCATCTAATTTAGTTTTGTACTTTTCTTCCATTTTTTTCTTCTCTTGTAGCAACCAGCAGTACTTATAGTTTTTCATCATCACCAACTATATTTGCTGACTAAAATTTGGCATCTCAGTCTCTGTTCAATGGAAGCTCTTAGCAACAAGTAATGAGCCACCCCCTCCTCGAGCATATCATTCTATGACTTGCATAGGGTCTCGATTTCTTTTATTTGGTGGCTTTGATGGGAAAAATACATTCGGGGATCTATGGTGGCTTGTTCCTGAAGGTATGGTCACTGTTCAACTGAAGAAGATTCTTTATTGATATAATGGAGTGCAGTTTTTATTCTTACAGCTTTACTCCATAATGCTTGATGGGAAAATATTTTTCTTCTTTCTGAAAACTCTACCTGATCGAATGCTCAGGTGATCCTATTGCGAAACGAGACTTGGTTCCTAATGTTGATTCAGACAGCAAACCTAGTAATGTGACTGGTGGTGCTCAACATTCCGCATCACAGGTATGTATTTTTGCGTGCTTGTGTGAGTAACGATTGACCTGTGGTTCAGAAGGTTTCCTGGAGAGTAAAAGTGAGAAACCAATCTGGAAACTTGAGATGATGATAAAAAAGGTATAGTTACTAAAAGATGCACTTATCGCAGGAATCACAAGCTGGGGAATCTCCAATGATTGACTTGGCAAAACGATTGGGCATTTCACTTTCTTTAGAAGCTTCAGCAAGTTTTGTTGACGAGATCAATGATAAAGAACTAATTGAATTATCATCTATGCTTTTTGGTGAATCACCCCCTACCGGTGACCAGCATGCATGCATTCAGGTGCTCATGTCTCAGCTATTCTGTAACCAGATCCAGTCGCATTGGTCTATGAAGAAATGTGATGTTTTTTTTTTGTGCATGGTACAGGCACTTCGTGATCATTGGACAAGTATTCCAGCCAACTCAATACAGCTCCAGGAGCTAGGCCCTTTACTGAGGGATTATCAACGCCTCATTCTTCGCCGCTATTTGTACGGTTCCCATTCTTGCGTTTTCCCTCTACTGTCTTTATTTACACTTTCTTAACCATCTGCGTTTATGTACATCATCCCTCTTCCAGAAAATGAATTATTATGTTTTGTCATGGTGATAAATCCGAGATGCTAGCATAATTTGTTTTGTTTTGCACAAGTAATAGTCACAAGCTGTACATTTGTACCCTTTATTGCCAATCTGTTATGCTCAGCGGTAACACATGAGCATGCATAGTAACCTGATGGCCATTATCAGGCTTAGAGTTTTTACAACTCACAAAATGACAACGGTTCTCTTTCTATTCATCAAATCAAGTCCTGAATTTAAGTGAAGAGTATTTGTTAGAAAAATTTTTAATTGATTATGATTTTACTAGTACTTCCTTCTTGCAACGGTTACAGGGAAAATTCATTCACGTCTTTCTATGAGAAGGAAGTTCACCGCTTCTTCCATTTGAAAAATGCTTCCGAGGTATGTATAGTGCATATATGATCATCTCCTATCAGTTAATGCATAGTTGCATAAGGAACTTTCTGCCATTTTCTCCTTAACACTGCCTTGTATCTCTGGTGTACTTCAGTTACGGATGGATGACATCCCCATCTTGTTGATGGAGTATGGAAAGCTGCTTTCCACCTGAGGCTGGGATAGCATCTTAGTTCTGACTCTTTACTTGGTAAGCGTCCCTGAACTCAACCACTGTGTTGGACACAATTTTTTTTTCTACTGCTAGTTTTCTGTAACTATGTTATGCATCACCTTCATCCATGTGCCTTGTAGAAGGCTAGACACTGCTCACATCCGCTGACGAGTACTTCTATGTCATCAGAGAACATTAGAAGGCAAGGAAGCATAGCTGCATACATGGCATGCTTTCACGATCTTCAGAGCTTGGTGGCATCAGAGCTTTGCTCCCTGCTCAAAAACGTTTTCAGCATGGGCACGAACAAAGTTACCGCACTTTCGGGTACAACGTCGATAGAATTTGTGAATCATGGGCGTGTTAAGAACCTACATGCTGCATTATCTTAAAGAAATCGAAAGCGACAACACCTGGCGGCTTGGTGCCGAGAAGCTGGCAGGAAGGCTCTTCACATTTGTTCACCTTGATTGATGTAGTATTCTTTCTTTGCTCACTAACAAAAATAATTATACATTCATTAGTGGAGTCAATTCTCATATTGATTCTTTTTCTTTGATTGATATGGAGTCGTGGCCATCTCGGCGACGGCACATTTGACATGCATGATGCATGCGTTGTACTGGTGCTGTACTCGCTCCATCAAAAAAAAAAAAGACAAACCCTATGTTTTTGTGGCCAACGTTTGACTATCCGTCTTATATGAAATTTTTTTATAATTAGTATTTTCATTGCTGTTAGATGATAAAACATAATTAATACTTTATGCGTGACTTATCTTTTTAAATTTTTTCACAAATTTTTCAAATAAGACAGGACGGTTAAACGATGGACACGGAAACTAGGTTTTTTTTTTTTTTTGAGACGGAGGGAGTATGTGCGGTGGTGGTTGGTGGGGGCAACGACGGAACGGCAACTTCACGTGGTGCAGACTGTGGAGAAAGTTTGGACTTTTGGGGGGTTCCGCCCGTCGTCGAACAAAATTCCCATTAAACGGGGCTTTTGTTTGAAAATTGGGACACACATGGTTTTACCAAGCTCATCACATGTTTTCACGAACTTCATTTTTCTGTACTTGGTTAATGTCGTGTTTGTCAAGGTCGTGTTTTTCATAATTCGACTAAAGAAGCGACTGGCTGAATCATTATTCATAATATGTTTGTTGCTGTTTTTGATGATAGAAATGCATAATATTAGCATGTGGTTGATGTGAAGTAAATGTCGATTGGTAGGCCCAAAGTCCAGTATTGCTAGTACAATATATCAGTGCACGTTTTCCCGATGGATCTGGATCGATTCTAGAAACTTCCATGGAGGTGAACAGTGAGTTTTCAAAACTGGAAACCACCATTCCACCAAGCAGCAGCCGGCAGTAGCACCCGGATTCATGGCCCCTCATCACGGGCGGCGCATCACTTCCCTCTGTCTCCGAGCTTACTATTTTATTTTATTTTATTTTCTTGCTAGATAAAATATAGTACTTCCTCTATCTTAAAATAAGCACAACTATAAGTTCTCACGTCTAATTTTCATCGTCCGTCTTATTTAAAATATTTTTTTAAAAAATAAAAAAACATAAGACACGAACAAAATATTATTCATATTTTATAATCTAATAACAATAAAAATAATAATTATAAAATTACTTAAAATAAGATGGATAATCAAACTTGCACAAGAAAAGTGTGTACTTATTTTGGATGGAGTAGTACGACAAATTTTTTTTTAAAAAAAAAACTCACCCACCACCTTGCACTGCAGGCGGCTGCGAGGGCAAAGCGAAGCGCGCTATAAAAAAGGAGGGGAGGAGCCAGCCGCCGCCGCCTCGGCCGCGCACTCCCAACTCCTCTCCTCTCCTTCCCACTACTCTCGCGAGGAGGAAAGCGAAGCCAAGCGAGAGAGGCTTCCGCCGTCGCCTTCCCCTTCGCCTTCCGATCGGTCGCGAGGTATATCCCCTTGTTCCTGTGGGTGGGTTTGACCTCTTCGGTTCTCCCTGTTCGGTGAGGGTTTGCTTGGGGTTTTGAGGTGGAGGATCTCTCGTCTCGTCTCGTCTCTCGGGTGGATGGGATCTCGTGTTCCTCTTCCTTGGAGAAGAGGAGGAGGAGGAGGATCGTGTGGGGTTGGCGCGTTGCTGTTTGGAACCATGGTTTTGCGCTAGGATGATTAGATTGGATGAAAACGATGCTTAGATTTGGGCCGTTCTCTATGAACATGTCTGTTTTTTTTTCTATTTGGTGGCGAGATTTAGGTTTCCGGGATTCTGTCTTCGCATGAACACCAGAGGAATTCAATCCACATGCACGGTTACATCTAGCTTGTTGATTCGTGTTTTTTTTTTCGATTTTTGTCAACTAGATCGTGAAATCGGGTGTTTAATCTATCAAGTTGGTGAGAAATTTTAGAAAGAAACCGATTGTGTCGTGTCCATGGAGCTTCGAGTGAAGGGTGGGGAGCGCAAGCAATGCCTGCCTTTCTCATACTGCTCCAGATAGTAATTGCGGCCTTCTCATGGAGGAATGGATGGCCCCTTGTGACCCTATTTCCTTCCATTTATTGGTAGAGATACCGTTGGCTTATATATCATCTCCATTCCTCGCTTTTTGGTACTCCGTCTTTTATGCTAGAAAGAATACGGACCGGGACCATACTGTGTTGGTGTTGAATGCAGTAACATGGTTAGCATATGACCCTTTCTCCACATGTTCTGGTGGACAAGGAGCTTTAGTGAGAAACAAATTGTAGTTGCAGTAAGCACCATGTTCTTTTTATTCCACTGTTAAGAGGTGATGTTATCATCAAATTTGTGCCATGGTCCAATCAAATGTTGCTCATCATGTTGTAAATCTGTGCACTGAATATATATGCCTTGTGTGATATCCTAAACTCTGTTCAAGTTAGAGCATGGCTTTTAATGGTGGAGGTACTTACTGTATTCCTTCTGGATTTGAACAATTCTAGGTTTCAAGATGGCGACGTGCACACTTGCAACTTCATGTGTGTCCTTGAGCAATGCTAGAACTCAGGCCTCCAAGGTGGCGGCGGTCAAGAGCCCGGCATCTCTAAGCTTCTTCAGCCAAGGCATGCAGTTTCCAAGCCTGAAGGCCTCCTCCAAGAAGCTTGACGTCTCGGCAATGGCTACCTACAAGGTTAAGCTCATCACACCAGAAGGGCAAGAGCACGAGTTCGAGGCTCCGGATGACACCTACATCCTTGATGCCGCCGAGACCGCTGGAGTAGAGCTTCCCTACTCATGCCGTGCTGGAGCATGCTCTACCTGTGCCGGTAAGATCGAGGCTGGCTCCGTCGACCAGTCGGATGGATCATTCCTTGATGATGCGCAGCAGGAAGAAGGCTATGTGCTGACATGTGTCTCCTACCCTAAGTCCGACTGCGTCATCCATACTCACAAGGAAGGAGACCTTTACTAAGGTGCTTTTTCTTGAAAATTTTCTGCCAAGAGGCAAAAAACTCTCAATGTCGTCGGCAAGGTCCATCGTGTGTACCAGTTGTCTCAACTCTCAATTAAATCGGACTTTGATGGTGGTTTTGAATGTTGTCTTTCGTTAGTATGCGTTTCAAGGTTGGGGCTAAGAGATGGGAACCCAATGGTAATACTAGCTAGTCAATAATAACCAGCTGCTATGGCGTAATACAATTCGTGGTTTTGGATATAATTTGCAATATTATTATCTTCAGTACTTGACTCTGAATGTCTGTGCAACATAATCTGGCTTTGCTTCGTTTTCAAATGGACTAACCATGTGCAGATTTACCCATGAGGCCATGAAGCTGTTCACTACTTGAAGGTGGATGTTGTAATTGCTCTAGAAATGCTCATGCATGTCCGATACAGGTGAGAAAAAACAGAAAAATGTGAGCTCTGAACTAGTCTTGGTTCAAGGAAAAGACATGCTTTGTGTGCCCAGAATCCCAACTTCTCAAGAGGTTGGGAGATGCTGAAGGCAAATGTTGTGGACTACGCAGCCGTTGTCACCAGATAGCGAGTTGTTGCCTTGGAAGCTTGTTTCTTTTGTTTGCTCCGGCAGTTTGGCGTGGTAGTTGATGCGTTTAGTCGTGTTTGGCTTTTGTCCCGGAGCTTAAAGTCTTAATTGAACTGGTGATGCTTTCAGTTGGCTGATGCACCTACCTTGCATTTTTCATTTTCTTTGTCTCTTACGTTGGAGTTGCATTTTTCATTTTCTTTGTCTCTTACGTTGGAGAGGAGAAAAATCTCTCTTGTTTCCGTCAAGAGCGACTAGTGCACGGTATAACATTTTAGAACGGTATAGACTATGGATATACCCACGTGCTTTGTCGATTGAGCTCTTGGTTGGGCCATGTCTGCGCACTGGGTCGGAGCAACGTTCCTACATTATGTAGCCTAGCCAAGGAGAATCGTCAGAGTATTATAGGGATTAACTCAAAATTATTATAATGGCCTTAAGATATCATGTTACTTGTACGATACTTATCGATATTAATATGATGGTATTTGTACTTCCAGATATCATCAATGTCATATTAATGTGTTGTTATTGAGTTTCATGGGTGAATCACCAGTATTATAGTATATTAAGGACTAAGGAGTATCACTAGGGTATCATAAAGATATCATCAATGTCATTAAGGTGTTGTTATTGAGTTTCGTGGAAAATCTCAAGAGTTTCAACTGAAATAGGAGAGAATAAAAACAATCCAAAGAAAAAAAAAATCCAAAATCATCTAAAGCACATCGAGCCGCTTGCCGCTTTCGCTTCGGCAAAGAGATGGAGGAATACAATACTATTGCCGGAGTGGAGAATTGTTGGTATATATATTTTCTGTTCCGAGTTCTATATTTGTGTGCAATTTGCACCAATCTGGCCAGTTAGTAAAATATTGGCGCGCAGCACCAGTGATGTCTAAAGCATTCAAGGACAGACAGAAACACAAAAGTATAATTAGAAACCATTACATCGAACACAAGTACACAACCATAGTAATATAGCCAATACTTAGGCAAATATACATACATAGCTAATGTTCCGCAGTCACAGAACGGCCGAGGCGGCCAAACCGATACAATTCTCACTCACTAATATCAACATATCACTAGAACACACGGCATCTGAAATCACTAAAGCAGGATATATCTCAAACAAACGAGCTTGGATCTACCTTTTCTTCATCCAGTAGTACTAGCATATATGCAAAAAAACGCTCTCAGAAACTTGAAAATATACTGACGACGAAAGTACCGACACACGCCCAACCATGCAAAGCTCACAAGACTGACAGTACAGACAACAGAGAGGCACACCGAAAATACTCAGAGCAAGGCTCGGATTAGAAGCATTTCCTGTGGACGATTGAAGGGCCGGATTCATCATACTCTCCCTTAGATATCCACATCTGCGACAGGAAAAAGAACAGGATAAGTGTCTTTATCTAACATTTTGCATTCAAAATTAATGTGTAATCTAGTTTATTAGGGCATAATCAAATAGCAAATGACTACCTTTTCTTTTTCTTTCATTTCTTCTAATCATAGTTTTGGAATATAAATAAATGTTGATCACATCGTGTATAACCAAACTATAAGATGCCTTCCTATTTACCAGGAATCACAAAAGAAATTTGCTACATAGTTGTTCACTTAAAACTTCAAAGTTGGAAGATGTTAAAGGAGAACATAAAATAAATTTCCTCAGGATGACCGCTAGGTGCCCAAATGCCAGGACTCCCCAGAATTAAATGAATGCTGCAGATAAGTACCAACATGCCATGAACCCCCAGAATTAAAGAGAATGCATGCAAGTACCTGTTGGAATGTGCTGAGGGAGGCAAGGATAGAACCTCCAATCCAGACACTGTATTTTCTCTCAGGAGGTGCCACGACCTTGATCTTCATGCTGCTTGGTGCAAGGGCAGTAATCTCCTTGCTCATCCTGTCAGCAATGCCAGGGAACATGGTAGTTCCTCCACTAAGCACAATGTTACCATAGAGATCCTTCCTGATATCTACATCACACTTCATGATAGAGTTGTAGGTGGTCTCATGGATCCCCGGAGCTTCCATCCCAATCAGCGAGGGCTGGAACAGCACTTCTGGGCACCTGAACCTCTCTGCGCCAATTGTGATGACTTGTCCATCTGGCAACTCATAGCTCTTCTCAACAGAGGAGCTGCTCTTGGCAGTCTCCAGCTCCTGCTCATAATCAAGAGCAATATATGCAAGCTTCTCTTTTATGTCTCTCACAATTTCCCGCTCTGCAGTTGTTGTAAAGGAATAACCTCTTTCTGTAAGGATCTTCATTAGGCAGTCAGTCAGATCACGACCAGCAAGATCCAACCGAAGAATAGCATGAGGAAGTGCATATCCTTCATAGATTGGCACTGTGTGAGTCACACCATCACCAGAATCAAGCACAATACCTGCACAAGCCACAACGCACTGGGGTCATATCACCAATGAAGAGATGTAAGTGTACAAAGACTCATTTTGAATAGTAGAAAATGGACACATGCCTGTTGTACGACCACTGGCATATAGTGAAAGAACAGCTTGAATAGCCACATACATTGCTGGTGCATTGAATGTCTCAAACATGATTTGGGTCATTTTCTCTCTGTTAGCCTTTGGGTTCAGAGGAGCTTCTGTCAGCAAAATTGGATGTTCCTCAGGAGCAACACGCAGCTCATTGTAGAAGGTGTGATGCCAGATTTTCTCCATGTCGTCCCAGTTGTTCACAATACCATGCTCAATAGGGTATTTCAAGGTCAAGATACCTCTTTTTGATTGTGCCTCATCACCCACATAGGCATCTTTTTGGCCCATTCCAACCATGACACCAGTGTGCCGAGGGCGACCAACTATACTAGGGAACACTGCTCTGGGGGCATCATCACCAGCAAAACCAGCCTAGAGAGAGAGTGAGAGTTATTATTATTTTTGAACAACTCATTCCATGAATTAAAAAAAACGAATGGACAATGGTATAAGAATCAAACCTTGACCATTCCAGTGCCATTGTCACATACAAGTGGCTGGATATCCTCACCGTCGGCCATTAATCTGAACAAGGAAATCATAAGCCATCTCCATCATTTACTTGTTACAGAATAAATTTTTACCATATTTCTTGCTAGACTAGTTGCAGGCCAGAACTATGATTGATGAGCACAAAAACAAAGAACAGCTTACAATGTTTTACATAAATTCAGCTATCCAATAAAAACTAAGACAGTTTTATCATAAGCAAATATATGAAAGTCACTGTTGTATTTAGGCATTTAGCACAACTCAGCTCTACTCCTCTAGTCTAGCTTTAGTCATAGTATGTATTTTCATTACAAAATGACTAATAACAGGTTTGAAGATGAAAGCATATAACACTTAAATGGTATTAATGGTCCCTTTATACTCAAGAAACTAAAGAGAAAATAAGCTGTCCTGTCAGGCAGGGACATGCTTACCCATGTGCAACTGTGCCAGTGTGCCTACCAAAGTTGAATAAAACCACAACAGTACTAGATCACAATTATTGCAGTTTCTGAACATCCAGCCTAGTAGTTAGATATCAAGATCTGTCCAGCAAACATACAAATGTGGAGGTTTAAAGTTGAAGTGCCAGCAAGTAGTGGCATTCACGTTCTAGTTCCTAGTGGCAACACGAAATCCTGAACATGACATTTTGTATGTACAAACTTAGTAGTTAGGAAGTAATATGCAATATATAGGTTGTGCTATAACTGACAAGATATTGTGACTAACAAATAGCACATAGATTCTTGCAGTAACGAAAAAAGAAAAGCTCTGCAGTAAAACACAAACCATCCTGCCCGATGCAAACCAGCACACCATAAAAATAAACATTTACTACTACAGACTCTATGCAGAACGGAAAAGTCCCATTTACGTTTTTTTTTTCATTTTCATAACATGTACAGAAGAAGAAGACACACTTGAACTAACATTCATGATCATGAATGTTCCAATGGATTGATTCGGCTGCGATTTGTTTTAAATCTGTACTAAATCCTAGTTAGATCTTTTCCTCCAAACAGATGATCCAAATCCAATTCTGTTTCTATGGACGCAATGATCCAAACGGATACCCTTGCAAGTTGGAACGAAGGGACCTCCCCAGTTTCCTTCCACATATTGCATGGCCGATCCCCCGATCCAACCAACATAAGCAAAGCTGAAGAAGAGAAGTTTAACTGAAAATAGCTTAAAAAACCGCAAATTCGTATTGGTAGTGTTCACAACCAGTGTCTCATCCCCGATCTGAGGTTCAGTAGATCAACCAAAAAAGCTAAGAACACTGACGAAATGGCAGATCCGCACAAAGACGATATCGCAGGGGCGGATCTAATGGGACATGGGGGTTTCAGTTCAACCCAAAAACTTTTTTGGCGAACAAAAAAACTGCTATTAGTTAGATTAAGCAAAATTAAGAGAAAAACTTTCCATGTCTAGAAGAGAAACAAGGGGCTAACGCAAAATTGGAGAAGATGCGTGGGTAGAGAGAGAGAATGAGGAAGAGGATGGGATGCTCACCGGGATGCGACGCGGCGGAAGCAGAAGGGCGGATGAACGGCGGCGCTCGCGCTCGCGCTCCTCCTGCTCTGCTCGCGGGATGGATGGGGATCGGCGGCGGCGGCGGAGTCGGCGGGCGAAGTCAGGAGGAGTCGACGCCGAGGAGAGGGGGGAATATATCCTCGACACCGCACGATTTCCCCCGCTCACTCGCCCTTTGTGTTACAAAGACAATGAGACGTGGGTCAAAGATGGTATATTTTAAATTTTATAAAATATGGTATGGTTATAATTTTTTCTAAAAAGAAAATAGGACTATCTTAGTAGTAGTAATTATGTTGTGAAACTTTCAAATATATATAGTAGTATATTTATATAATTCTACCATAATCATATTAACATGTAATATAACTTGATATAAGTATTAATAAATTAGATAGACTTTACAATAAGTTACAATTATTGTAACAAATCATAACTCATTGCACAAATCTTGACGCAACATTATAAGGTCGAAAATTGAAAAGCTAGAGAAGAAAAAGAAAACCACCACAAGTTTCCTAGCAAACTCGTAGAAAATACTAATATTTATATGTTTGAGAATTAACATTGTGCTAGACCCATACAATTAAAAATGGCTTCATTATAGTATTTTCCACGTTCATATATAGATTCATTAACATAAATATGAATGTGGGAAATGCTAAAATGACTTACATTATGAAATGGAGGGAGTAGATAATAAGTTGAGAATAAAACATGAGATTGTATGGTGGTGATGGAGAGATTAGAGAAGGAGCATGATTTTTGAAACAGATTATCTGCTCCATGTTTCTTAAAAAAACTTTTTCTCGAAAAGCTTTCTTATATTGCGTTTCTTAAACAACATGTTTTAAACCATTTGTTCAGTTTACTTGTTAAACTATTTAATTTTTATAATCGGCTAGATGTATAATCTACGATAATCATTCGTTCAATAATGTGTTGACATTATTTCGAACTCTACCAATATGTTCCAGATTTGCAACAAGAAGAGCAACATTATGGTGTGCATTTTTTTTTAAAAAAAGAATATATTTAGTCTGAAGTTAAGCCATGGCTAAGGTTAGTGATTTTCCATATGATGCTTACGCGCTCTCACAACAAACAACTTTGGGGCAGAGATCAAACGAGTTTAACTATGAATATCATATCATCAACTTTTCCGAATAAAACCAAGAGACGCAGAATATGAATATAGATTCATTAAAAAAAGAGGCTTTTTTTTTCTCTCTCCACGTGGATGGAATGGAGATTGCAACTGCCAAGCCGGCCAGGCCACGTCGCCAAAGCTCAGCATTGCTTCCTAACAGCAGACCGGTGTTGCCCAGGCCATCAGCTGTCGTTGTTCAGGAAAAAAAAAAGGAACTCTCAATTCATGTTGGTTAAATGCATCTAATGGTCCATACATATATATGAACATTAATAATTGCAAAGCCAGCCAGGAAAAAGGATAATTCAGAGAGGAGTTCATGCAATCTAAGACCAATTCAGATCACTGTTTAGTGCTCAATCTCTCCATCTGCATCTAGCATGACACTTTAGATCTGGCATCAATCGTACCTGCTCACTACAAGTGGCAAATATGTACTACCAGCTTGATCGAGTATAATATAATACTCCCTCCTCCTCTAAATGTTTGACGCCGTTGATTTTTTTAAACATGTTTGACCATTCGTCTTATTCAAAAACTTTTGTCAAATATGTAAAACTATATGTATACATAAAAGTATATTTAACAATGAATCAAATGATAGAAAAAGAATTAATAGTTACTTAAATTTTTTGAATAAGACGAACGGTCAAACATGTTTAAAAAAGTCAACGGCGTCAAAGATTTAGGGATGGAGGGAGTAGTAGATACCAGGCTTAGTTCTTGCTCTCTTGTATGACTAACCAGAAATTTGTTGCTTTCAAGAAGTGGTAACAATTACTACTAAGTAATTAATAAGTCATAATCAAAGCCTGTATGATTGGATTGAGGCAGAAAACAAAATTCAGAGGTATCCGCAAATGGCACACTCTCTGCACCCTAATACAAGTCTGCAGCAAGCCAGAAACTACTGCTATCTAATAGAAAAAGAAACATGTTTACTTAGAACTTAGCAGAATAATATGACAAGCAATGACGAAACTGTAGGATACTTCAAGTCTGCAGTAAAGTTCTTCAGAAACAAGACAAAGCGCAAACCGAGAAGATTTCAATGAAACCTGAATTATCCTTTGGCAAGGCACCAAATGGTTACCTCGGATGTAACGACGACAAAACAAGGGAATCAGAGCACAAAGATAACGATGCTTCCGATGAATCATAGATATTATACAATTAACAACAACAAATCTTGAACTAGGCATAGCACGGCCGTATATAAACACCTGACATGCATGGTTATGATGAGTTGTGCAGTTATCTGAACTTTCTGAAGACAGTTTGCCTCTGCCATGGCTGTGTTTGGAGCTGCCGTTCTTGTAGCTTTGGCAGTGACTTGTGGCCTCATCTGGTCGAGGTCAAGAAGGCTATCAAAGGAGATGAGAGACATCCCCGGAACAATGGGCTGGCCTGTCGTCGGCGAGACCTTCTCCTTCATCTCCGGCTTCTCGAGCCCTGCTGGCATTCTGAGCTTCATGCGTGACAGACAGAAGAGGTTTTCTTGATTTCTTCAGACAATCAGTGTGCAGTCATGACGATAGCAACATCAACACGATCAGAAGCTGAAATCCTGAAATACTTGGTGTGATGTTTTTTGATTGATCTTGTCAGGTTCGGCAAGGTGTTCAAGACGTATGTTCTTGGGAGGATGACGGTGTTCATGACGGGGAGGGAGGCGGCCAAGATCCTGCTGTCCGGGAAGGACGGCGTGGTGAGCCTGAACCTGTTCTACACCGGCAAGCAGGTGCTCGGGCCGACCAGCCTCCTCACCACCAACGGCGACGAGCACAAGAAGCTGCGCCGCCTCATCGGCGAGCCGCTCTCCATTGACGCGCTCAAGAAGCACTTCGACTTCATCAACGACCTCGCCGTCCAGACGCTCGACACCTGGCTCGACAGGAGAGTGCTTGTGCTCGAGGAGGCCTCATCTGTAATTATTAAGCTCGTAATCAAATCTCAGTTTCTTGAAAATATTGTTTCTGAAACTGAATTTTTGGTTTTTCTTGATTTTGTCAGTTCACGCTCAAGGTGATCGCCAACATGCTGATAAGCTTGGAGCCAGAGGGAGAGGAGCAGGAGAAGTTTCGCGCCAATTTCAAGATCATATCGTCTTCGTTCGCGTCGCTGCCTCTCAAGATCCCAGGAACTGCATTTCACCGTGGCCTCAAGGTACCAATCGATTCCTCAAATAATCAAAAACACCTGCATGATCAGTGACCAAGAGATGGATGATCTCTGAAATCAAAATTGTTTGATCGGTCGAGAAGGCCAGGAACCGGATGTACGCGATGCTGGACTCGGTGATCGCCAGGAGGAGGGACGGCGGCGAGGTCCGCAACGACTTCCTCCAGACGCTGCTGCGGAAGCACGCCAAGGACGGCACCGCCGCCGACGAGGACGACGGCGGCGGCGGCGGCGATCGAGACGCGGACAAGCTGACGGACGCGCAGCTCAAGGACAACATCCTGACGCTGCTCGTCGCCGGCCACGACACGACGACGGCGGGGCTGACGTGGCTCATCAAGTTCCTCGGCGAGAACCCGGAGGCCCTGCAGAAACTCAGAGTAAGCACCGCCGTTTCCATCGATTCGATTGGGTTCGTTGTTGCAAACTTGAGGTTTGTCAGTGCCAATTGCTGTACATACCTGTGTTCTTGGATTGCGCTCCTCGTAAAGTTAGAGGGATGTGGGTCACTGACGTGCGGACCCAATCTTTGTGGGTCCCACATGTCAGTGATAATGTCCCTCCGACTTTACGTCAGAGGAGACTCATCCATGTTCTTGTGCAGGAAGAGCACATGGAGATCAAGGAGAGGCTGGATGGATCATCACATCTCAGATGGTCAGATGTGAACAGCATGCCTTACACCAACAAGGCAAGATTAATCACCATCAATTGATTCTTTTCAGGTGACACTTCATCTCTGAAGATTAATAACTAATACATTGTTGCAGGTGATGAACGAGACACTGAGGAGAGCGACCATCCTGCCATGGTTCTCACGAAAAGCCGCTCAGGACTTCAGCATTGATGGTAGGTAACACATTTGTGTTTCCAATTCATGTGATATTTAAACCGAATTCATGTGAAATCTTAAGTGAAGCACCACTTTGAAATTTCAATTGTGTTGGCGTGGCTGGCAGGGTACGAGATCAAGAAGGGGACGTCGGTGAACCTGGACGTGGTGTCCATCCACCATGACCCGTCCGTCTTCGCCGACCCCTACAAGTTCGATCCAAACAGATTCGATGTAAGTTTGGCAAAAGCAGGGAGTTGAACCATTGTTTGCTGTTGATGATGCATGTTTGTGTATGCAGGGGACGTTGAAGCCGTACAGCTTCCTGGGATTCGGCAGCGGGCCGCGGATGTGCCCCGGGATGAGCCTGGCGCGCCTCGAGATCTGCGTCTTCATCCACCACCTCGTCTGCAGATACAGGTAAATCTATCTGCTCACTTCACCATGGATTGATCTCGCAAGCTTAAGCTAAGCTCGCTCAATCGAATGGTTTTTCAGCTGGACGCCGCTGGAAGACGACGACTCGGTGCAGCCGACGCTAGTGCGAATGCTCAGGAACAAGTACCCCATCGTCGCCGCTGCCATCTGACAACGGCAACTCGACCTGACATTCAGTTTCATCGACGACGAGAGATGAAACGGAAGGGACACTCGAGAGTAGATAGTGCTAGGCTATTCCATGGTTTTACTCTACTATATAAAAAAAATTACACAAACAACACGACACGAATCATCTTTGCATAAAGCCCATGCATCAAATCGGCTTGCTTAATCTTGGATAAGCAATACCCATGAATTGAATACCACTGCAAAATTGCACTCTTGCAGTATATACTGCATGAGTTAAGGTACATCCTATGTTACAAATGTACAGCCGTGAGTTCAATACGTAATCAAAATTCATCAGAGTTAAAAAAAAATGTTTCTGTAGTTCTGTTGCCGATATATACTATTTTGTTGCTATAAACTAAGTACTCCAGCAGGCAGCCAAGAAATAAAGCAGCAGGAGCTACTCCGTGGCAAAGTGACGAGGAACAGCTACTTCAGTGGCAAATGTGACAAAGAACAGCAACCACGTAGCATCGCTCAGATATTCAGGTCGCTTAAACATGATCACAGCAGGGCAGTAACAAGGAATGGCACAATCCAAGAAGCAACACAACAGCAGCAACTCCGGAAGGGCCAGGGTCAATGGAACAATAACCAGGTAGCAAAGCCAATCAGAGTAACAAAGAAACACTATGCAAGGCAGCAGTGGCCTTCCCACGCTAAACCGCACATGATAGATTGATGCCAACGAACAAGCCGGTCATAAGACTAGAACAAATCGCTGTTAAGACAGTAGTAACCAATCCAGAACAAGAGAACAAAGAACTCAAACAAACCTGCCAAAACAAAACAAACATTTGAGAATGATGGGTTTACACAATCTTGAAGATAAAGAGTTAAAGATTACCAGTTCATTTCCCCTATGAATGGTTCATCACCTGCCTTGAGATGAGTTGATTAAGGACCAAGATTTTTCTTATGGCATTTTCAAGCAAGGTTCAGTAGAATGCTTCCTCTCCCAAGAGAACAGAAACAAAACAATTTACCGGTCCAATCCCACATATCCCGTTTCCAAAGGTGCTATGCCGCATGAGCACAACCAACGTAACAGAGCATCAACAAGTAATGTGACAAAAACCACCTCTCAAGTCTCAACCAAGAAAAGAATCACCCAACAGCATATCAAGCAAATATGTAGGACCAAGCGCCAAGCACTATGAACAAGTCATATGCCTGGCAACAAGCAGGAAACAATAATAAGAATGTCAGTAATACAGTCGATAATAAAGTAGATGCTTTCTCATGGTACACCATAGTTCTCAAACTACATGAACACAAAGTTCCAGACACAAGGAAACACAGCTCACAATAGTAGATAGACTTCCATACCTGGATGGAACATACTTCTTAGAGATTTGATAGGCCATCAATAGGGACCAGACCGGTCACGACTGTAACGGTCACCCCCACCTCCACCGTAGCCACCACCATCTCGACTACGACCAGAATAACGGTCACCACCACGGTCAGATCCATAACGGCCGCCACCGCCACCACCACCACCGTACCTATCATCTCGGCCACCATATCTATCACCTCTACCACCACCATCTCCAGATGGGCACTCTCTAGCAAAGTGGCCAGGTTTTCCACACTTGTAGCAATCCCCACCACCACCTGAGCCACGTGGTGCACGCCCACCACCACCAAAGTCACGGCCACGGTCATAACGAGATCCACGGTCACGATCATAATCACGGTCTCCATTACGGTCTCTACCAGGTCCTTGTGGCTGAGCTTTATCGACAGTGATCGCCCGCCCATCCAAATCCAATCCATTCATTCCTTCAATAGCATCTTCCATGGCTTTCTTCTCATCAAAGGTCACAAAGCCAAAACCACGAGAACGGCCAGAATACTTGTCAAAAACCACCTGCACATTACCAGGAAATTTTACTACACACAAATTTATGCTAAACAATCACTAAAGCATAGAGAAAAATTACAAAAAAAAGGTATACAATTTAGTTGTGAGTTACAAATACTGAATAATTCTATTGAACTATAAGGACAACATATTACCCAATTCCTTTTCAGGTTTCAGGAGTAACACACAGTATTCGGCATCAAACAAGGAAAGATTATAGTGCCTGACCATCCTAAATGGCTAATGCACTTGATACAACATTCAAAGATAATAAATAATCAATAAATTTCAACTATTCAGCATCAAACAAGGGAAGATGACAGTGCCTGACCATCCTAATGACTATTGCACTTCATACAACATTCAAAGATAATAATCAATAAAATTTTGACTACGGACAGGTTAGTACCCAAGACTAAGCATACCCAGACTACAGATTCGCAACCACAGTTATATGCAAGCAATATCAAAGATTTAACACGAGCAAAAAAAGTTCCTTCACAAAATGTATAATGTAAGGATTTCGTATGATCTTGATATCACCTTTGCTTCAGTGAGGTTGCCAAATTTGCCAAAGGCATCCTTGAGGCTTTCATCAGTTGTGGACCATGACAGATTCCCAATGAAGCAACGGTACTCCTCCACGTCCGCCATCTCTAAGCAGATAGAAAGGCAGATGGGCAAGGGACAATTTTAGAACTCACCAACATAAAACAATTCAGATTAACGAATCAACATAAAACAATTCAGATAGAATCCATGGTGATTAACAAAGCATCTCGCCCATAGATCACTGCATATGTATAGTCCTACAAACTAAGCATATCAAAGAATTGCATCCTTCAACTCGTTAACATAACCTGGGGCATGGGGGAATTTTTTTTTTGGGGGAACAAATTATACACTACTGTTATTAGTGCTGAGGGTAAGGCAAATTAAGAGAAAAAAAACTTCAGATCTAGAACCGAAGATAAGGTGCAAAGAGAAAAGGTGTGGGTAGGGAGGGATGACGTGCGTTCCCACAGGCGGCGGCGGCGGCGGAGGCGACGGGCGAAGTCACGAGGAGTTGACGCCGCACCACGATTTCACCCGATCCCTCGCCCGCAAAGGCGACAGTACGGGGGAATCGACTACGGCGCATCAAGCCAGAGGCGAAGAATCGATCAAACAAGCCAAAATCTACTCCTCCTCACGATCATCATGAGCACAACGTATTCATCGGATTCTAAAGAATTAAACTATCGGCTGCAGGAGCAGGACAGTACAGATCGAGCAAACAGGAAGGGAATTCTATCGCGGCGCAGAACACAACACAAGGGGGGGTGAAGATTTGAAGGATACCTGCGAGGAAGACGAAGGCGGCGGCGAATCGGATGCTCTTGCCCTCGGTTTGGTTCGGAGGTCTAGTATATAGATCGAAGGAAAGGAAGAAGAAGACGACGACTTTTTATAGGAGAGGGGGAATTTGGGGATCCTCTAATCCCTAGCAGAACCCTAAAATCCCACGTCAGCGCGAGATATTTCCATTCTAAGCACGGCATGTGGGGCCCGTGCGCCCACGACCCCACCAGGTGGGGCCCACCCCTGCCTGCCTGTTGCAGGCAGGCCATGGTGGAGTTGGGCCGCTTGTGGGCCGAGTACAAAGCCCCTCCGTTTTATACTTTTAACTTTCTTTTCCTAATTAAAACTTTTTATGTTTTTTTTTCGGGGAAATAGGGAATATATTACTCAAAGGAAAGCTTCGTCACAAGCTAGTTGTGCGATAGCAGTACAACTATTGTCTGGCCAGAAATGAGTTAACTCCTCACAACGGCCTTTATTAGCTAAAACATGACTAATACGATTTTGAGATTTATACCCCTTAACAAATTTAATTTCCCTATTCCCCATCGGGAGGTCACGAACCTCCCTGATGATGAACGCCAGCTCCGAGCGAAGCAACTCCTTGGAAGAAACTAGGTCCAGTAACTCCTGACAATCAGATTCGATAACAATTGGCAAGAATGTCCACTGCAGAGCCATGGCTTAACCCTCTCTGCAGGCTAGGAGTTCCGCTTCTAGTACACTTGACGTCCTCTGCAGGAAGCCACACGCAGAGAAAATGATTTCTCCATGGCAGTTCCTGAGCACCACTCCTATTCCTCCATTTCCTGCTTCAGCTTGGAAGGACCCATCTGTATTAAGCTTCATCCAGCCCTGTTCTGGCGGTCTCCATCTGTGAACAAAACCATCTCCCTGGCTCGCCCTAGGCTTTTTCCATTGTTTCGCATCCACAACATGTTTCCCCTTCTCCAGATTTGCATTCGGCCACTGTTTAATTTCCTGCAAAGACGAGACATAGCTCTCTATGAACCTCTTTGACGCCGCGATAGCATGGGCATGCTTACCGTGCGTGATTTCGTTGCGGGTGTGCCAGATACGCCACAGTATCATCATCACCAAAGCCCGATCGCCTGAGGGAGCTGTCTCCACATGGTCAAGTATTCTGTTTGCAGCGTTCGAATCAGGTGGTAGTTGGTAGATCCCTTCCATTGCTCCCCAAAGATTTCTGGCATGATGGCACCTGTACAGTGCATAATCCACATCTTCCTTTTTCTCTTCGACATATGCTGCAGATGTCTGAAACCTCCATCTTCCTTTTTCTTCTTATTCTCCAAAGTTGGTAGGCAGTTTGAACCTGCCCTCCATACAAAGATCTTCACTTTCTGAGGCACATCACACTTCCAGACTAATTTCCAAACCTTGCTCATTGCAATCGACGATGAACTCGAGCTGACCTCTGTCCTTGAAAAATCCAGGGCCAGGGAGTAAGCACTCCTGACAGAGAAGATGCCATGTTTATCTGGATGCCATGCAATAAAATCATTTTCCTGGCGTGAAGAGATGCGTATGCTGCAAATGGTTTCCACATCAATTGGGAGGAATAACCTGGAGATCTTGTCGACATCCCAGGCACCATTCCTGTCCAAGAGCTCTGAAATCCATTTATGTTTGATCAGGTTTACAGAGAAATATAGCAACATTTTTAATATAGAACAAACATATTATTGAAATATATATAATTTTATATTTAATAAAACGAATTTGGTGATATATATATATATATATTGTTAAATTTTTCTGTAAATTTAATTAAATCTAAAGAAGTTTAACTAGGAAAATACCAAAAAGATATTTAGCAATAAGGCAAAGAGTTGATTTGGATGTTGCCGTGCGCGCCTGCGCAATTTCCACGCAAACGACTCTTATCATTTCGTGACAACTGACAACTTGTATTGAAAGACTTGCAATTAAAGTCGAAGACCTGAACTCAACTTTGCTAATAAGAATTACAGAATACTCCTACTCCTATATATATATTCCTATTGAAAGACTTGTAAAACAGGAGAAGACTTGAACATGTCCTGGCCACCAACAAAGTGCCCGGAGGCTCGCAATTATGGGCAAAAACTAATGCGGCCAACTAGGCAACTCCCTGTCACATTGCAAAGCAAGTGCTTAGCACTAGCATCAGAATCTTTTCAAAGCATCTAACTGTACTGTTGCGTTGGCAAAGCTGACAGCAGTAAATTATCCTACCAACCTTACTATACTTTTGAAATTCAGGCTTGCATCGTTGAATAAAACTTTTATATACGTATTCTTAACGATATATAAGAGCAAAGATAGAAAAATAAACTTCGATGAAAAAAAACCCTAAAATCAACTCTAAATTTAAGGATAAAAATTTAAATTTTAGCTGATAAGCATAAGCGAAAAGATGTGGTTGTCAAACTACAACTTACTTTCTCGTTTTCTGTTAATATATTCTTGAAACTGTTAAATAATATTCTTTTTAGAAAAACTTTTTATATAAAATTCTATTCAAGAAACAGATAAAATTATTTTCAAAGCTTATAATATTAATACTTATTATTGATGTAACATTGAATTACCTCGTTTTATGCGTCTAGAAAACAAGTACTACCTCGTACTCTATCCGTCCCATATAAAAAAATAGAACCTAGCCCCATCGTCACTTATAATTTATGAATAAAACTTTTAGATATGTGTTCTTAGCGATCTAAAAGCAAAGTCTGAAAAATAAATTTTGATGAAAAAACCTTAAAATTAACTCCAAATTTAAAGTTAGAAATTTAAATTTTGGCTGATAAGTATAAGTATAAGTGAAAAGGATGTCATGTTTTTTATGGGACGAGAGAGGAGTACATGCTATACATCCCAACGGTAACCTCGTTCTCATCATACAGTAGAGCAATTTTCACTTTCACCATCTCGACTCAGCCAATCCATTTCTAAATTTTATATGACCCCAATGGGCACTGACGAAAAATAAGAAGATGGAGATGGATTCGAGCTGAGGCGAAGACCTGACCCAAACGGAAGTCTTCTCCTCTCCCCTTGCTCAGTTCATTCAGTTGGCCTCCTCGATCCACCTCCAGCCTCTCAATTCAATCGCCATTGACAACAATCCGCGAGGCGAGGTGCTTAGTTTCTCAGCCAAGACTCGAGTCGACGCCGGCCATGGCTTTCTGGGAGGATTGGGGCAAGGGCGACTGCGACTGCGGCTGGAAGAAGTGCCTCATCTGGACGGCGGCCATCGCCGGCGTGGGCGGGCTCATCGTGCTCCTCGTCTTCGCCTTCGCCCTCGTGTTCCCGCCCAAGGCCACCGCCGACGACGCCGTGCTGCTCCGCCTCGCGCTGTCCCCGGGCTCGCCGCCGTCCAACTCCACCGTCTCCTACAACGCCACGGTGACGCTGTCGCTGCGTAACCCGAACCTGTACCGCGGCATCAGCTACGACCCCGTCGCGGTGGCCTTCTCCTTCAACGGCACGCGCTTCGACGAGTCCGCCACCGTGCCGGCGTTCTACCATCGGCCGAGGAAGACGGCGACGTTCCACGTCACGGTGGGCGGCGCGGGCAAGCCCGTCCCCAAGCTCACCGCGGCGGGGGTGGCGGCGTTCAGGGCGGAGAACGCGACGGGGAGGTTCGAGGTGGAGGTGAGGCTGGACACGGTGATGCAGTACAAGGCGAGGAAGGCGCGGTGCCCGCTCGCCGTCATCTGCCCGCTGCAGCTGCAGCTCGTCGACCCGGACGTCGCCGCCACCGCGTTCCAGAGGACCAAGTGCACCGTCCTCCGGGCCAAGAAGTCCGGATGCTAGCTAACCTACCTACCTGCAATTTTCTCGAGATTTCAGTTTTCTTTTGCTTGTTCTTGCTTGCTGGAGATTGTTGCCATGTATGATTGGAAGATTGCATTTTGGATTAGAAATTGTAAGATTGGTTATTGTGTAGTGTGTACTGTGTACTGCTACTCATCTGGAGAAATTCGGGACAATTGGATATCCATATCCTCTCTGGTTGCCACTCTGCTGCTGTGCTCATGAGTGATTAGTTAAGAACTGCATGAGTTGGCTGGCTCTGTCTGTCTGTCTGTCCGACATGTCGAGCCAAAGCAAGTACCATGATGTTTGGTGAAACCTCGACTTTTTCAAGTCCAATTAATTGGAAAAAAAGAGAGGAAAATACACACTGCCGCAGCTTGACCCAAGCCCAACTCAGCCCAAGATCTTGGGCTCTGCGTTGAGTATAACTGCACAAAGAAGCAGCAAGAAACCAATAGCAAGATCATTGAGGAAGAATATAATTGAGGAAGTTTGTCACTGCTTTCAGCTTGCTTTCCTCAAAGCAAAGCATGTGAATCGGTTATTTCTGCAGATGCAGATGCAGGTGTAGCGCGTGTTGCTAACCTTTCTGCAGAAGAAATTAAAGTGCACCACCGCGTTGGCTGCCGTTGTCGATGTGGATGTTAATTCAGATCTAGTCACGGTAAAAGTACTTACTAGTAAACTGGCAGTTGGATCATCGTCTTTAATAAGGGAAAATTAGAACATGCCATTATAATTTTGCAAAATTTGATATATGTCATCCTGAAGACTGCTTGGATCTTGGGTAAATCATATTGCGTCTTTCTTTTGCCTCCAAAATACGATGAACGATGCTCACGGAACGGATAGTACTTGTACAGATCACACTGTCACAGCCTGACGAAAGAAGCTGGCGATCAGCACAGCACAGGAATTATTCGGAGAAAGGCTCAGGCATTATTCGGAGAAAGATGGCGTTGTTCTTTAATTTGTTCTCTAATGGGAAGAACTTTTAGGCAAGGCAAGCAACGCAACGAAAACGGTGGTTAGCTTCCATTTCATTTCGGATTACGTATTGCCTGCTTGCTGCTACCTGGTCCACACGATGTCGTTGTACTACTCACAATGATGGACGAAAGATCGTTCGACATAATTAACGCGGTTTCCTCGCCTTTCTAAATGAATCCATCCAACACACATCAACGCGGCAAACTGCTAATTACCACTGCTATATAAATAGTACGGTTTACTATATTTCTATCGTCAGATTTCTGGCTCTTTGTGACCATATAAGCCATAAACGGTCGGATTTCAGCTTAAACTTCATGCGACACATTTCTTTAAGCCAAAAACAGTCGGATATCAGCCTACGAGATTAACCCTATATGCCATATGGAGTAGTAAAATATTAATTATTAATAAGTTGTTGCATAACTTAGTCAAAATACACAAAAATAATCCCATCTTAGAGAACTTGCAAATACAAAATTTACATTCAAATATAATAAAAATTACAAATGTAACTTACAGTGTAATTCATTTAGACAATGGTATATTTGACCCGGCCTCTACATCCAACTGGATGTATGCAGCCATTTAAAATTAGAAACTTAGCCCATAAAAAAACAAACTTAGGACTTATAGATGCTACATAGGTCACTGTAAGTACACAGTAAAACATGTAGTATGCACAACTCCATTCATGTGCAACCGCCCGCAGTAAATATAGACATGTAAATGTGAAATATGAGGTGTAGTACGTGGATCTAATTGGACACGAATCTCATAGTTGATCCGATGGCCACAAAATTGATTGCTTTGAAGCCAAAACTCTGGCGACAGAAATACAGTACTCCTAAAACTGTTTTTTTAGGGTTGGTTTGGTTTGTGGCCTAGATAGGCCTTACCAAATTTTGTCAATGACAAATTTTGGCAAGTTTTGGCATGATTAATTTTGGTAAGGTAAAGTTATGTTTGGATTGAAGCCAAAATAGCCCAAGTTCACTATTGAAATGACCTATTTTCTTATGCATGCCAAAATTTGGCTTCAAACCAAATAGACACTAAACACTATTGGAATTGCCAAATATTGGTAAGCCTAATTTAGGCCTCAAACCAAACCAGCCCTTAATAATCTAAAACTGTATTTTTGTTGCGACTTGTTTCATTATTAGAGATACTTTTAAATATAACTTATACCTTTTCTTATGCATACTAAGGGGGTGTTTAGATGGGGCTAAAACTTTTTAGCCCATGTCACATCGGATGTTTGGACGCTAATTTGGAGTATTAAACATAGACTAATAAAAAACTAATTTTATAAATGAGAGCTAATCCGCAAGACGAATTTTTTAAGCCTAATTAATCCATAATTATAAAAAGTTTACTGTAGCATCACATTGTCAAAATCATGACGTAATTAGACTCAAAAGATTCGTCTTGCGAATTAGTCCAAGGATATGGAATGGGTTTTGTAATTAGTGTATGTTTAATACTCTAAATTAGTATCCAAACATCCAATGTGACAGGGACTTGGAATAAGTCCCTGGAAACCAAACAGGCCCTAAATATCTATTATATTATTAAGACAGCTCGAAAAGAAGGCACCACGTTCGCCGTGGAGGCTAGAAATTCTCACGTTAATCGAAGAAAAAGAAAAAAGAAGAGTCCAAGTAGAAATACAATCTAAAAATAGCTGAAATTCGGAATTAAAAATATGCAATATGGAAAGAGAAGTCACCACGTTCGCCGTGGAGGCTAGAAATTCTCACGTTAATCGAAGAAAAAGAAAAAAGAAGAGTCCAAATAGAAATACAATCTAAAAATAGCTGAAATTCGGAATTAAAAATATGCAATATGGAAAGAGAAGTCCATATAGGAACCTAATACATGATTAATTAAAATTCGGGATAATAATAAAATAAATATCAAAATTATAAAAAGAAAAAAGAAGAGTTCGAGTAGGAATACAATTTATAAATAACTGAAATTTGGAATTAAAAATAAGAAATATTGAAAGAAGAGTCCATACAAGAATCCAATACGAGATTAATTAAAATTCGGAATAAAAAAATAAAAAAAATCGATATTAGAAAAAGAAAAGAAAATAAGAGTTCAAGTAGGAATATAATTTAAAATTAACTTAAATTCGGAATTAAATATAAATAATATTGAAATAAGAGTACATATAAAAACCCAATAGTAGATTAATTAAAATTTGGAATAATAAATAAATAAATAAATCTGAAATTAGGCAAATTAAAAAGAGAGTTAAAGTAGAAATACAATTTTGAAACAACTGAAATTGAAAATAAAAAATAAAAATATCAAAAGAACATAATAATAAATAAAATAAATTCTGAAATTAGAAAAAGAAAAAAGATTTCAACTAGGAGTACAATTTATAAATAATTAAAATTGGTGATAAAAAAATAAGACTATTGAAAGAAAAGACCATCTAAAACACATGACGAGATTAATTAAGTAACAGTCCTATAGAGGAGCAAAGTGGTGGCGGTTGATGAGACATCTAAAAACTATTAATAAAACACCAAATAGAATCCTAATGACGATTAAAAGGAAGGACGACGTGCAGATCGTGAAGCAATCAGTCAAGTTGGTTGGCGGGGACTTCTAGAAAGTAAAAAAATAAACCCCAATGATAATCATATTTGATTTTTAAAATATCAATTACAATAAAAATGAGATGCAGTGGGCGGGTCGTATAGGAGTACAATGGTAGATCCGCCGATGATTGGTGGGTCTTCTAGAAAGTAAAAAATGAATTCTAACGATAGTTATGTTTGAATTTTACAGTCCCAATGACAATAAAGATTATGTGACGGACACGTCGTAGAGAGGTATAGTGGCAACATTTGACGGGATTTCTAAAAATTATAAAAAACATGAAACCCAACGAGACAATAAAACTCACAATAAAACTCTAAAAACTATAAGGTTCAATTTTTAAAGGTTCAGGCTTCTAAAAGTAAAAAAAACCCCAATAATAATCATGTTTGATTTTAAAATCTCAATGACAATAAAGAAGGGTGGCAACGGACGAGCCGTAGAGAAGTATAGTGATAAAGTCGCCGACGTTTTGGCGGAACTTCAAGAAAGTAAAAAAATGAAACTTCTAGAAAATAAAAAAAATGAACCTAAACGATAATTATGTTCGATTTTTAAAATAGCAATGATAATAAAGAGAAAATGCAGTAGACGGTTGTAGAGGAGTATAATGGCAGCATTTGATGGGACTTTTAGAAATTATAAAAAAGAAACCCAGCAGGACAATAAACTCTATAAGTTTTTAGATCCAATTTTTAAAGGTTCCAAGGAGAATGAACAAAGCTAATAAAAAATAATATGACAGAAGTAAGGGGTAGCAACTGATGTGTCTTTTAAAAACTATAAAATTAGAAATATGAGGATGATAAGGTTTGATCTTTCAAAATCTTAAGACAACGAGATAACTATTTAATAAATTTGAAGTAAAATCATATTAAAAAATATATAATTTTATATTGGTGCTAGCCGCGCAATTGCGCGGGTCACCCAGCTAGTTTAAATTAAATGAATGATCAAAGGGCATTAACGCTATATATTTTAAAACGAGAGGAGTGGCATCGAATTACATAGGCTAACTACGTATCAACGAGGTGAAAGCATACTTCTTGTACTAGCTAGATGCCTTTCAGTACTGCATATGTTATGTAGGTGCATATATATGGTGCCCTGACAAGCTAAGGTTCTCTGCCTAGTTCGTTACGGCTACACCAACTGTCGTAACGGTCAAAGCACCAACGTACGTCATCATCGGCGGCGGCGGCATGTGCTACGAGTCGGAGTGCTGCGGCGGCCGCGGCTCGTACCGGAACCGCAGGTTCGCGCTCGGCTTCTGGTTCGGCCTCGCCATCCTCGCCGCCATCGCCATCATCGTCGTGCTCGCCGTCGGCTACGGCCGCGTCTCCAGCCTCAGGGTCGCCGTCGACGACGCCTCCCTGACGCGCTTCGCGGTGACCGCCACCTCCGTCGCCTACAACCTCACCGTCGCGCTCGTCGTCCGCAACCCCAACTGGGCCATGGGCGTCACCTACCGCTCCCTCGAGGCGTCCTACCTCTTCCACGGCAAGCGCTTCGACGGCGCCGCCGCCGTCGTCTCCTCGGGATACGAGCAGGCGGCGAGGAAGACGGAGGTGTTCCGCCTCTCGTCCGGCTCCGACGCGGCGCCGGCCGCGCTGGGGAGCGGCGGCGAGAGGGAGTACCGGAAGGAGAGCGACAATGGCGGGGTGTTCGACGTCGAGGTGGACCTGTCCGGCGAGGTGAAGTACGCGCTGCACAGCGCGTGGTGCAGGGTGGAGGCCAGGTGCCCGCTCAAGCTGCAGCTCGCCGCCGCCGGCAGCGTCGCCTTCCAGGAGACCACCTGCGACATGCTCCGGTCGTCGCAGAGTGGATGCTGATCTGATCTGATCATCATCCTCCAACATTTCAGCTCTACTAGCTCATTTCATTGCTGCAGAGACCTCTCACTCACTGCTTGTGTTGTGATTGATTTTTTTTTCTTCTTTCTTTTTTTTGGGTGAATACTTGTGTTCATGATTAATTGTGCACGGATGCGTGCGTCTATGTACAGTTGCGTTTTACCTTCTCATTGACTTATTTTTCTGTTTTATAATTTGAATTAATTCTGCTTTATGTGTGTGTGTGTGTGTTTGCTGTCTGCTTTTCTTAATATTAAATTAATTTACAAGGTTTGGACTATGCATACATGCTAGCGTGTTGCATTGAGAAAGCTGAATTAAAGTGACAAATGGCAACATGCAATTCAGATGGTCTCGAGGTATGCCATCCTTTCCATTCAAGAAAGCCTAGTCATACACACGCACGCACGCAGAAACTGGAAGCTATAGTTTTTGGTTCAGACTTCAGAGAAAGCAATGCAGACACAAACAGAAATGCAGAATCAACGAGAGAACAGCTCAAAAGTGTGTGTAATTCAATGCTTTACTTCATGTTAGAGAGTTCTGCTTTAGTGCTTTATCTCTTTCTTGCAGAAGCAGCACTTACTGTTCAAGCTGGTACAAATAGATCCGAAGGTGGTATTCTCTATTTTGATTGCAGAACTTGAATTGCACAAAATGTCCCAGCAAAATTCAAGGGTCTCATAAAACAGAGCATGAAGCTGTCACCACAAAGAACCGATCCACCAAAATATGATCACAGCACATATGTTAAGATTTAAGATGGAAAAAGGACCAAGAATCAGATGAAACATCTGCACTATATATTTGGTAGTTAATCAGGAAAGTAACTTCAATCATTATGATACAACATAAGTAAGAAAAAAATGGTACATAGTACAATCCTGTACAAGATTGTGCAGAAAAAAAAAGGATAATACTGTCAATGATAATGCTAGAAAAAGCTAAGCACGCAGCTTCAATACATAAAACAATATGCCTTACTTCCGTCCTACTGGATGATGACGATAAAGGTATTCATTGCCTCAAAGATGCCTGCTCTTGAGCTGGCTGTATACCATCAAGTTAGCAACCTATTATGCTATTACAAGTACAGCTGAGAGGTTAATCATCAATCATTTTATGTCCCTCCACTGCACTGTTGTTCGTCGACTTATTTGAGGTGGTGTGAGCAGTACTATTACTGAGACGGCAATGTAGTAGCTGCAGCTGAAGGCTTTGAATAAGCCCATTTAGCTGTTGAATGTTTTTCTCCTGTGCCAATATTATCTGTAGATTACACACAAACTTATGACTGTGCATCTTTTCAACTCTTGTAAAAAGACAATGAACAAATGTTCAGAAAGTAGGTTGTCATAGGCTCATAGCTAGTAATGCTCAAACATCACATAACATAAGGTGCTGTTTAATAATCTATAACTTAAGTCACAAGCAGCCAATTGTTATCCTTATCAATAACAAAGCAAACATTGTGTTTTTCCCATCTATCATGAATCAAAGATATCCATAGACAAAGCTTGTAACATAACACAAGCATGTAGCTATTTGCAACAGAAACCACCGTGACAAAGCCATGAGCTAAAGCAATATACTCTGAATATACCAGCAAGTGAATTAATTATCCCAGAGCCTCCAAAGTTTACTTGACTTCTTAGCAAGCAAGACTTGCATATGTTTGGAGGCTTGCATATGTTTTTCAAGCTCAGTGAAGACAAGTGTATAATATGTTGTGCTCGTATGCAGCTGTTAAAGTTAAAATATCAATAGGTATGATACATTTCCAAGACTAGGCACTTAACTCCCATCCCCAACAACTCACCAAGCTATTGGTCTTCAGAGTTGGTGAAGGCTTTAGTCAGTTACAATTTTCATGAAGTAAGCAACTCAAAAATTAACATACAGTTGAGCAATGTTACAGTTGTCTCAGAAAAATTCAGATGGTTAAGTTGACCACCAGGGTATCAGGGGAAATGAAATACGGCTCGTCAAAGTCTTTATCAGTTTGCATAAGGTAGGCTTTTATTGGTGCTGTCAATATGTGTGTTCCAAGTTCTGTTCGACCGCCATATGACAAAACCGGTTTTCTCATAACATGAACACAACACAGACACAGTAATGCAACATATGCGTCTGACCAGAAAAGGCACCTTATTTCAAATGAACTACAATATTGGAAGCCCAAAATAAACCACAAGTGGAGATAGTTTAACAAGAAAGGCGAGTGCTCACTTTCTCTTTAACAGCATCTTCCCTTAGTATTACTTGTTGCCTTCGCCGTGTAGCTGCTGGGTTTGCCTCAGCCTCACCAACCTGCTGCTTCCATTCAAACTGTGATGTGATAATGAGCACAAGCAGGAGGAAGATGAGAACTACTGGTCTCAAATTCATCACTCCAATCCGCAATCAGAAAACCTAAGGAAAGAGATACCATTGTTAGCTGATTAGAATTTCCACGGCATCTACAAATTCAAGAAGAATAAACTTGGCCTCTTCAGGGCACCAAAGAAAAAGGAAAAGGTAGAAGAGTTGAAACTTAGGACTTGAAGAATTGCAAAAGGCCTTCAAAAAACCCTTAGAAATTTGCACTGAATCGTACGAATGGAGGGGGATCTGGAGAAGATGATCGATCATAGAGTCATCAAGTTCTTCATACAATCTAACCTTCTAAGGAGCAACCTCCCGTTCTACAAGAGGGATCAGTCAGGCAGAACTGTTACACTGTATACTGAAAATCCCGGAGTCTAATTAAAATCCTAAAAATGATGAACTTGATGAACAGGATAAAATTGGATAGGGCAACCGAAGCTCTCATAATGCAGCGCACGACTAAAAAAGTCGAGTCTTTCAGCAAGAGAAACCGCGGGGAGACCCTAACTCCACAGCGCAACAACGATACGAACTGAGAAGTAATCATATATCGGCAAACTGAAACGGATTAACGAAGAGGTCCGACGTCTCACCGGAATTTATCTGAACAAAATAGATATAAATGGAACTGAGAAACAAGAACACGAGCAAACTCACAGGGAAGGAAGCCGTACCATCTCAGCCTGGCCGCGGGAGCCAATTTGGGGAATCGACGCTGAATCTGGGGGAACAGAGGTAGTAGGGTTCTTCGATTTCTTCGCACAGATCGCCACAAGAGAAAAAAAAAACAAGTTCCAAGGCGCCGCCGCCCCCACTACCTTTGACGGCTTCTTTCTCTCCTTTTTTATCTTCTTTTTCCCCCTCTTGTGATTTGGGAAGTTTCTGCCTTTCTGTAGGAGCAGACGTCGAAATGGTTGCGTGACTTGCGTCAGATAGGGTTTTTTTTTTTGCACCAGCAAGCAACTAACGTAGTACGAAGTACCTTTTTTTTTTTTTCATTTTCACCATTGTTTGCAAAATCAGAAGTCTAATCCGTGTGTGTTACAGTAACAAAACAGCGATTCACTGTCGAGTTTGGGCCGTTGAACGCGCTGTGTTGGACTGCAAACGAGATGGCAGGCCTGTTGGGCTTTTGGACCCTACACTGGTCCAACGGGTGAGTGCAACCAAAATAAACCCTACCAAATTTTGACAAGATGGCAATATTGTAAAAATTTTGACAAGATTTCTTATGTATTTGCTAAATTTAACAATAAACTAAAAATAGATATTTTTTTTGAGGCATGAGATCGTCGGCGCCGACGTATCTCCCTCCACGTGGCGCCATGCGATTCCAGCATTAGGCTCCCTCCTGCAGCCGTCGGATCGCCGATCTACGGTGAGTAATTGCTGCGGTGGACCTCTTTGTAATATGCTAGAGTTTAGGGTCATTTTTACAAAAACACTCAATACCTAATTCCCTATCTATCCATCTCTCTCCTCTCTCGCTCTCCAACGACGCTGCCGCAGCGCCGCCTCTTCCCGCCCCTCGCCGCCGCCTCCTCCTCCTTGCCATGGCCACCGCCTCCACCTCCTCTTCCATGTCCCCACTGGTGCCGCTCCTCTCCATCTGCACCACTTTGGCGCGCCTCCCTCGATGTCTCAAGTGAGAACACCGCGGGCCCTCTCCTTCCACGCATCGGCGAGCCGCCGTCTCCTCCTCATCGTCGCTGGATAGGGCCGAGGATCTCGATGATGGGGTGAGGAACACGGTGACCACGTGCGGAGATTGGGGAGTAGCTCTCCGGCAGCGACGAGCTCCGCCGCCGCCACCGCCGCCTCTTCCCTCAAGCTTGGTGGCAGCACGGCGATTGAACTCCTCTAGCTGGCTATAGCGCAGGTTTAATTGGCCCACCGACGCTCCCTCTTCCTTGTCGCTGCCTCGTTGGGTGGGGGTGAGGAGATCGATGGTAGCGCAGAGGTATGGGGAGGAGCTGGGCGTCAGTGATGAGCTCCGACGACGGCGAGGCGCTCTCCCTCCTCGGCTCCTCCCTTCAATATGGTTGCAATCAAGGATGTATGTGAGGATGGCCAGGTGGTGCACATTGTGATGGTTCACTATATCGGTCGAAGGTTTTTGATCGGGGGTCACCGAAATTTCGGAAATTTCGGTCCGAAATTTTAAACAAAATTTAGTTGAATTTGAACAAATATTACCCAACTTCATGAAAAAAATTGCAAAATTCAAAAATTTCTGCCGAATTAATATCGTATCGGAGGGGACTGAAATGACCGAAATTTCACCCTGGTTGTTGGTGAGCTCTTGGACAAGATTCAGGATGAGGGGCATTACAATGAGTGAAAGGCTGCAGAGATTAAAGACGATGATCTGTCAATAAAGACGATAGATTTTGGTCTACCCATGTTCTTCAAACCAAACAAGTGTTCTTATATGGCACATTTTAATGCATGTGTAGTGGTTTATTTTTAATTTAGAGAGTAACAGGTCAACATAATATGTATATGTCTGCTTTGCTTTATATTCTGTGGATAGTATTTGCACGCCAACATAATCAAGACCATCCTAACTATATTCTGTTGTTTATCCATCTTCCTTGACAGTTCTTGCACTGTATGTGTCAGCTCATGTGTGAAGTCTTGTGGATTTATAAATTAGTTTATGAATTTTCCATTTTACAATTTGCAGGTCAGGTTTTCACTGAGTTGGTTGGGAGTGCATAGTATGTTGCTCATGAGGTACTGCACAAATGTTATGGACCATAATCTGAGGTACTACAAAAATATTATGGACCATAATCTGAGGTACTACACAAATGTTATGGACCAGAATATTTAATATATTCTGGAATTGCTAAAGTGATCGCATCCTATCCTTTTCCAGAGACACGACAAGGAATATTTGATGCAGTTCTGAAGGGTCTCATCGATTTTCAATCAGTTCTAAAGATATCTAACAGTGAAAAGTATCTTATAGGGAAAATGCTATCTCAATGTCCTTCAGAGCGTTTGAACTTTGAAGGGCCATGAAGTGTTAAGTAAGTATATTTGACCTATTTCTTCACCTAAATTAGTTGCCCTTTTGTTTCGTTGCCTATCCATATAGCTGAGGAGCTCTGCATTGTTCATAACATATTTTGGTACATAATTTTTATGTTCACTAATTATTTTAGAGCCACAAACCTTTTGATTTGCTGAGTGATATATATATGTTAACATCAGGACACCCTTGGATGTGAGAAAGTGGAGTTGCTATTGATCAAGCAAAACCAACAGATACACCGATCAGTTTTGGCGAGATCACTAGACAGCGGCAGGGCGCTTCATCACTATCTACCCAACATTAGCCTCCTACGCTACTAATTTGAACTGCACTGTCTCTTCACAACATACAAATGGCAATTGGACTATAAGCCTGCACCCTGTGCTCTCTATGCAGTCACAAGCAGAACTGCAATCCCTCATGAACACATTGGCAGGACAACAGTTACAGCAGAATATCCTGGATAAAAGATCTACAGTGACTGGCTCCATGGACATCACAACATCAACAAACTACAACCTACTGACATACCATGGTATATTATGGCAGCCAGCATCAATCATCTGGAACAAGGCAACCCCCAACACTTGCCGCATCTTCCTTTGGTTGGCCTTCAGGGACAGACTTAACACCAATGCAAACAGAGTTCACAAAAAATGGGCTATTGATCCACACTGCAGCTCTTGCCCAACTATTGAAACAGCCAACCACATCATTCTTCACTGCAAGCTAGCCGACGAAGTTTGGAAAAAGCTAAACCTTCATATGCAAGCAATGAGCAGTGCCAACATTCAGGCCTTCGTCGAGCTAATCTTGGATAATATGCCGGAACAACAGAAGCTAGGTTGGCCAGCGTGCTTCGCAGCTTGTGCACATGGCCTGTGGAAGGCGCGCAATCAACGGGTGTTCAAACACACTGAGCCTCACTCTGCTACTATCATACAACAAATCAAGGAAAATCTACGCCTGTGGGTCCATCGCCTTAAGCCAAGCCTTCGCATCCACATCAACACTTGGGCAGACAAGCTTAGTTGACATAGCACCCTCCTGTCTTGAGTTGCTTCTTCCTTTTTTCGTTTGTTTCTGTTCCATTTTTTCCATTCTTCTTCTTCTTTCTTTCTTCTTTAATTCTTCTTCCTTTCTTCTTGCTTCTCTGTTATTTGTATTTCTCGCCTATAACTCCCTTGCCAGTTTCTGGCTCGGTCCTTCTTTGACCACCATTAATACAATGGTTATAAGGTAGAGTCTCTCTACCTTTTGCGTCAAAAAAAAGCTCTAGATCCCAGTGTTATCACTTGGCTCAAACATTTCTCTGCAATGAACAAGTAAAAAAGTTGGCTTTAAGAGCGAGTGCTTCATCTACCCTTATGCTTCCATATTGCTGCTATGATATTTGCTATCATATCATCTTAATCAATATCGCCGATTGGCCTTCACTATAATCCCTTTGCATGCCATGCTATATTGTCATTCTTCTTTGGATCCTTCCGATAGTAAAATAAGTTAATTTTGGTACATGTCAACTTTGAGATCTTTACAAGGCTGATAATATGATTTTATTACAATGTCAATCATCACTAAGCTGCCACCTATATTCCAAATCTTTAGTTCCATTACCAACTACCATATTGCAAGATCAAAGAATAAAGATTCAATAGCCAGACTGGCATGGATCATCACTTGGCTTTAACATTAATCTGCAAAAGAGAAATGATCACATGGCTGCCAAAGTCCATTCTGCGTTGAAAGTTCTACAAAATGATAAGAAACGTGCGACTGTTGTTTTTCTTTGGGTGATTCTTAGTTGTACAAAGACATTCATGATTCACTTCATATTCTCCGAAACACTGTCAGGCTGAAGTCAGTGAAGATAAATCCAAAGCCTATAATGTTGCTGATCTTGGAGAGGTGAGATTAAGTGAAGAATTTTTCTTTCTGAATGGCTATCAGGTTGCTCTTGAGTTTCTCTACAAAGAGGATCGTTGTAATGTTACTAATGTTAAGGAAGTTGTGCTTAGTGTTATTGAGAACACACCGGTTCTCCACTTGATTGATCCAAAACGAATCAAGTTCCTGGCAGAAAACCTTGCTGGCAAAGAAAGTGAGACCAACCCAGCCACGGCTCACTTGACCTTGGTTTTGCTTAGTCTGAGACATGCTGATTTGCTATCATGTTAAACATATGTATTTATTGTTCAAAAGCTATATGCATTTCTCAAAGTGCATAATATAGATTCTTTTTTTTCTGACGTAAATCTAACGTACATATTTTAGATCAGAAATCTATTGTTCCAATCACCTGTATTGCCTTAACAAGGTCACATAGCTAGAATGTCTTGAATATTGTTTCTTCTATTACTCCGTATACAAATGAATCATAAAGCTGAATCTCTCGGCGGGGAGCAAGATTCAAAATGATAGAAATTGTTTTCGTTAAAGCATTGAACACCATATGAACATTATCTGAACAATTAGTTCAGTGTTAAGGGATGCTTTTGGGCATGTGTTTAACGGTACTGATTTCATTTCATTTCATTTCATTTCTATAGGCGAAGATGAACTTGATGAAGGAACCTAAACATTCAGTATAGTCCCTTGAATTTTATTGAATAGTTAGTTTATGAAACTTTTGTTACTGAATATATGCCAGGGTGTGCCCCAAGAATCGCGTATTTTTGAAATTTGAAAAGAAAAGGTAACAAACAAATTTGTAGTGTGATGAATCTTTTCTTCTTTAGTGACAATATTGTTTTATGTTTTTGTAAGTGCCATGTTTGTGCTAACTTCCCTAAACTTTACGTATCTCTAGACGTGAAACAATGTTCAAATAACTGATCATCACCGTAAGGCGCGGCAAAGCCGCGGCAAGTTTTCTAGTACAGCCTCAATCTTTCCTTTTTACTTATCATTTATCAGATAATTTAAATTTTAAAATCAATTTAGGTTTTATTTTTTACTTTGTTTTTCATCCTTTGCTTTTAAATCAATAAAAATACAAATATAAAAGTTTTACTTATAAGTTATTTTTAAACCCGCCAGTGTTATGGGTTATATGACCTGTTACAAGCGAAATTAGAGTACTGAGTACATACTACTCTTTTTGTCCCCCAAACATAAAAGATTTTGGATAGATGTGATACATTCTAATACTACGAAACTGATATGATTTTGGGTGGATATGACTAGTATGAATATAAGATAGGAAAAGAGAAGATTAAGAAGATACGCAAAAAAAGGTGAGTCATTAGCATATGATTAATTGAGTATTAACTATTTTTAAATTTTAAAAATAAATTAATATGATTTTAATAACTTTTCTATTGAAAATTTTTATAAAAAACACACCATTTAATAGTTCGGAAAACGTGTGCGTGGAGAAGACAAATCTTCTCACAATCTCCTTAGGGCATCCACAATGTGGTGTAAAAGTAGTTCATAAGCAATAGAATATTCCATTCAGCTACCTATTACCATTGTGCAACTAGTCCATATAGAAAAAATAGCAAAAGATATCCATATGCATATGGACTACCCATATGGAATAAATTATATTATCTATCTCTACTCCTCTCTCTTCTCCTAATGATACCTTGTATCTATACATTGTGGACATTGCCATAGGGATAAACTATTTATGTGGGTCCCATCTATATGGATCACTTTGCTATATACATTGGTGATGCCCTTAGGCTGGGTCCTTTTGGATGGGTTGGGAACCCCTCCCCTCCACACGGAAAATAGAGCAATAGATTAACACGTGATTAATTAAGTATTAGCTATAAAAAACTTAAAAAATGGATTAATAAGATTTTTTAAAACAACTTTCCTATATAAACTTTTTGTAAACGCGTACCGTTTAGTCCTTTAAAAAGCGTGCACGCGAAAAACGATGGAGATGGGTTGGGAACCCATGGGAAACACAGCCAAATCTTTTTTTTTCTTGTAGTTTTTTGAGAGCTGTATTGAATGCAACAGATTCCAAGGATGGGGAGAATGTCCTAGCATTAAACTGTGTGGATCTGTGTCTGTGCATCTGTGAGCAGGGTGGTGTGGTTCCTCTGCACCATCTCCTTTCCTGGCTGGTTCCTCCTCAGCATCAGTGTTCATTGTATTGGAAATTTGGAATGGATTGATTAGTGGTGCCAACTGTCAAAGCATTTTTACAAGAATAACCAACTTTTTATAACACTTCTGTTTACCTTGGATTGAACATCACTTAAAGTCTAGGCTTTCAATAGTATGCTTATTAACATATCATGCACAAGAGTTTAATTTTTTTTTTGAGGGAACAAAGAGCTTTATTGATTATGTAATAGGAATACAATCTTGCTGCAAAGTTTGCATAATACAGGACGGGGCACTATCACGCCAAACCGCGCTATGCCCCGACTGTTTAGCAAATTGAGCAAGTTCATGAGCTACCCTATTACAGTCTCTGTTACAGTGCGCCAGCTTCACTTCTTGGATGAACGTCATCATAGCTTTCGTCTCACGCAGAAGGAAGGTCCATCGTGATCTTTCTTCACCCTTGGCTTGAAGTCTCGCGATGACTGTGGCACAATCTGACTCTAGGATTACTGGCATTGGCAACCATTCAGCAACAATTTTCAGTCCCTCACTGCAGGCCAGAAGTTCAGCCTCTTCTGCTGCCGCACATTTCCTCAGAAATCTCCAGGATGTGAGGAGGACCTGCCCTGTGGAGTTTCTAACCACAATCCCGATGGAACCGCATCCATCCTGTGGAGAAAAAGCGCCGTCCACATTGAGTTTTGCCCAGCCACTCGGAGGTGGATTCCAGGTTCTTTGTCCCATAGTACGAGGGTTAGCTAGAGGCTTTGCAGAAGGGAAGTTGCTCCAACTACCCCTTTACCTTTCGGGTCATCAGATTTTTGTCGGGTGATGAGCAGTACCTCGGCATAGTTCTGAAGAAAAATCACAGACCCTTTTACAGTAGCTTGTCCATTACCATGCACAACATTGTTTCGTAGATACCAGGCTCTCCAAAGCATTAACAGGATGGCTGCTCTGGTGGAGGCATCTTATTGCTGCAGCAGCAGGAGTAACCAATCAGGTCCGTTTTGGACAAACTCCTTTTCTGGGGGAAGAATCCAGTGTTTGCGTAATTCAGTCCGCAGAGCTAGCGCTTTAGTGCAGGCCACCGTCGCGTGGAAGCTATCTTCTTTGCAGTTCCCGCAAATCTCACACACCGGGGAGCTGACAATGTTCCTGCGTTGTTTCTTTGATTGTACTGGCCAGACAATCCCGTGCTAGCCTCCACGCGAAGACACGAACTTTCTGCGGGACTTGGGCATTCCAAATATTCTTCCATAAACTTCTTTCTCCATTCGCCGCTATTTTCAGAACACAATTCTGCCTTCGAGGCTAGCTTGTAGGCACTTCTGACAGTGAAAATGCCCATTTTGTCATAGTGCCAGGCCACAATATCATCCCCAGGGCTGTGCGGGAGTTGTATCCGGAGGATTTCCTCTGCATCCGGGGGGGTAGAAGATGTTTCGCACTAGCTCTTCGTTCCACTGTTGGCGGTCCGGCAAAAACAAGTCAGAGACCCACTTCAGTCTGGATCGGGTTCTTCGACCAATTACTTTCAGGTTGTGTTCCCTAGGAATCCAATTGTCTCTCCAAATTTTCACTTTACTGCCATCGCCAATTCGCCAAATTAGTAAAGCTTACTGTAGAATTTTTTTAATATTTTGTAACATTATATTTTAAACTGCTAGTAACACAAATTTAAAAATTTTATCTATAAATTATTTTTCACTGTTTTGTTCATTTTCTACGGCTTATCAACCGTAGCTGGAACAGTCAAAGCCTATATGATTATAATACTTACTCCTAGATAACAAAAGGTATCAGTATCAACACAGTGATGTAACTAAAGGTAAACTATTTTGTGTGAGAGAGGATTTGTTCCTTGAAAGGTGAAAAAAAAATCAGCTTTTTTTGTGTGTGAAACTTGTAGTGTAATCCCTGTGTAGTGCATGACACTACTACTCCAATCTTTTCAAAGATAATCATAACATCATGCACAAAAACACTTTTTTTTGTAGAAGGATCATCGCATGTGGAGATTGCTGTTTACTATTCTTCCCTGGCAAAGGAGAAATTTGGGATTATACCATTGCAAAAGAGTGGTTCTGCTGGAATGTCATCGCTTCAAACTGATTCACTGTAATGCCATTCTAAACTTAGTGGTGTTCATCAAAATACCATTTTCGTTGTTTTCTGTGAATAGAAATGTTTTTGCTCAATTTTATATTTTTCCTACACCAAAATACCCCTAACGCGTCCCCACCTGTCATACTCTCTCCCCTCTCTCTTTCTCCTCTTCCTCTCTTTCGAGGACGCCGTCAGCTAGCAGGCGTGGCGGGAATGGTTGGCGGCTGGGAGGCGGGCAGTGGCCGGTGGCCGGCGGCAGGCGTGGCGGGAAGGCAGGCGTCCAGCGGTGGCGACGGCCACAGCATGCCCCCTCGCAGACTACGCTACGGCCGCCGCGGGTGGGGGTGGCGTCGCCTCCTTCCTCTCCTCCCACCATAACTGCTCCTTCGGCCGCGTCCACTCGTCGCCCTCCGCTCTGTGACGCTCGCCTCCTCCTCCTCCTCCTCCTTGTCCTCGTCCTCCCCGCCATGCCCGCGCCCTCACCACGCCCGTCGTCGGGGCGCTCGCTCGACGCCTGCCTCCCCGCCACGCCCCCCACGCGCCCACGCCCACCGGCCACCTGCGCTTGTCCAGCTCCAATTCTGCCGGAGTAGCTGGATTATGCGCGGTGGGTATGGCTGTCGCTGCCACTGGATGCCCACCTCTCCACCACGCCCGCCGCCGGCCACTTGCCACTGCTCGCCTCCCGGCCGCTGGCCACTACCCGCCAACCGATGGCGTCCTGGAGAGAGAAAGGAAGAGGGGAAAGAGAGAGAGGGGAGGGAGTATGACAGGTAGGGCCGCGTCAAGGGTATTTGGTCTGGCAAAAATATAAAATTGAGCAAAAACATTTCTATTAACATAAAAAAACAAAAATGGTATTTTGGTGAACACCTCTCAGTTTACAATGGCATTATATAGTGAATCAGTTTAAAGCGATGGTATTCCAACGAAACCAGATGGTATAATCCTAATTTTTGGTACTACTACTGGTACTATACTCTGTTGACGACTTGCGCTGCATACTTTACTGTTTAGAGAAAAGGTTTTTGCTTGATTGACACACAAAAAATAATGGCACCGTTATAGACTGATGAAAAAAAAACTGTGTTTGTCAGGATCCCATGATCCTGGCACTACATTTGCTCACAAATCACTTTGATTATGAACTTCCTTCTTTAATTAATGTTACACTTTGGTTAATGATTAGGGAGACCTAACCTTGTGGTGTACAGATCACATGATGAGGGTGTGTTTAGTTATTTGAGTGTAAATTTTTTGAAGTATACGAACACACATTTGAAGTATTAAACGTAGACTAATAACAAAACAAATTACATGTTCCACCTGTAAACTACAAGACGAATTTATTAAGCCTAATTAATCCGTCATTAGCAAATGTTTACTGTAGCATCACGTTGTCAAATCATGACGTAATTATGCTCAAAAGATTCGTCTCGCAATTTACATACAAATCGTGCAATTGGTTTTATTTTTTTCCCCATTTAATATCCCATGTATGCGTCCAAACATTTAATGTTTTTAACCAATTTTTTTTATCTAAACAAGACCGAGTTGTGAAAATTTGGCCTATATGCTATGGAATGAAGCAGATGAAGAGGCAAAAAGTACAGCTGCTAGCACAGCAGACAGACTGGCGTGCTCATATAGATTTTAACTTTTTTTTCAAACTTCTAACTTTTCCGTCACATCAAACTTTCCTACACACATAAACTTTTAACTTTTTCATCACATCGTTTCAATTTCTTTAAACTTTTAATTTTAACGTGGAACTAAACACAGCCTCAAGCTGTTGGGCAGATGAGTTCACTGGTTAGAGTTCACTGCTCATATAATGCGCTTGCTAGCTAGCACCATTATTCATCTATCGATCTATCATGATATACTATTATATTATATATTACTTCCTCCGTTTCATAATGTAAGACTTTCTAGTATTACCCATATACATATAGATGTTAATGAATCTAACATCATGTTTAGATTCATTAACATCTAAATGAATATGAACAATGCTATAAAGTCTTACAATGTGAAACGTATGATGTATACGGTATTAGTACACTGTACGTGAGATACCATGCACGTTATTAGAAGATCATCGTGGATTAAATTATAACAATCATAGGTATAGAACAAAAAGATAACAGTATTACATATAAAGGAATACTCAATCAATCAATAGAAAATTAGCCACGCTGGTCTCGCCCAGACTTATTATTATTATTATTCGTGATACCAATCTTTTTTAAAAAAGCCAGCACGCTATTTTCTCGGCCATCGCGTACTCATATATAAATCGTACGTACTCAGGGTGTTGGGCAGATCAGTTCACTTGGTTAGCGAGCGCGTGCGGCGGCAGGCATTGAACCCTGTGATCGAGCGATCGAGCTAGCTAGACTTCCAGCACGAGCGGCGATGTCGACGACGGCGGCGACGACGCTGGGGCGCGAGCTCCTGGAGGCGGCGAGGGCGCCGGAGTTCGCGGGGTGGCTGCGCGGCCTGCGCCGCCGCATCCACCAGCACCCGGAGCTCGCGTTCCAGGAGCACCGCACCAGCGCGCTCGTGCGCGCGGAGCTGGACGCGCTCGGCGTCGCGTACGTGTGGCCCGTCGCGCAGACCGGCGTCGTTGCCACCGTCGTCGGCGCCGCCGGCCCCGGCCCCGTGTTCGGGCTCCGCGCCGACATGGACGCGCTCCCCATCCAGGTCAATTAATGCGCCGGTGTCGCATGGGTATTCGTGTATAAAAAAAACTAATTACAAAATCCGCAAGTAAATCGTGAGGCGAATTTATTAAGCCTAATTAATTCATCATTAGCAAATGTTTACTGTAGCAACATATTGTTAAATTATGGAGCAATTATGCTTAAAAGATTTGTCTCGCAAATTGGTCGCAATCTATGCAATTAGTTATTTTTAGTCTATATTAAATACTTTATGCAGGTGTTCAAATGTTCGATGTGACAGGGTGAAAAATTTTAGAGAGAACTAAACCGGGCTTGGCATTTAATTGGCAGGAAATGGTAGAATGGGAATTCAAGAGCTTGGAAGATGGAAAGATGCATGCGTGTGGGCACGATGTTCATGTCGCAATGCTGCTGGGAGCTGCTAAGCTGCTGCAATCACGCAGGGATCATTTCAATGTATAATACTAGCTAAGTTTAATTAATTTCAAAATGCAAGCTGATCAACATGAAAATTAGAGAATAAAAACAGTGTCACTGCAAAATAATTTAGGGGAAGGTGAAGCTCGTGTTCCAGCCGGCGGAGGAGGGGTACGCCGGCGGGTACTATGTGCTCGAGGAAGGCGCTGTGGACGATGTGCAGGGCATCTTCGGCATGCACGTCGATGCGGGTTTGCCGGCGGGCGTAGTCGCGTCCAGGCCGGGGCCGTTCCTCGCCGGCTCGGCTCGCTTCACGGCGACCATCAACGGTAAAGGCGGCCACGCGGCGGCGCCCCACCACGCCGTCGATCCGATCGTGGCTGTCTCTTCCGCCGTCCTCAGCCTCCAGCAGATTGTTGCTCGCGAGACCGATCCCCTCCAAGGCGCGGTACGTATGTACGGTACATTAATTAACTCGCTCTTACTACTTTTTACTCCATTCGTCCTAAAATATAAGGGACCATAACCCTTCTCATGTATATGATTTCTTCATTTCAATAAAAGTTCAGGCTGGTGTCTAACACTCGCCGTAGTTTTCCTAAAAAAAATATAAGAGACCCAAAAACCCTTATATTTTACAAGGAAGGAAATATTATTATAATCCTCTCCTATGTTTCAAAATAGATACTACTTTAGGATTAAAAAATTATCAAAAAGTGATCATGCATATAATGCAATAATGAATGATAAACAATTATACTACCTCCGTCCCAAAATGTAATAACTTTTGGCTATAAATCTGGACACACAGTTATACAGATTTATAACTAAAAATACTTATATTTTTTTGACAGATGAGTAACAAACAGTGATAATTGATGGGCCATGCATGCAGGTGGTGTCTGTGACCACCATCAAAGGAGGTGAAGCTTTCAATGTCATTCCGGAATCTGTCACTCTGGGCGGCACCTTGAGGAGCATGACAACCGATGGCATGTCTTACCTCATGAAGAGAATCAGAGAGGTACTACCTTCGTCCTAAAATAAATGTAGCCGTGGGAATCCGTGTCCAACGTTTGACCGTTCGTCTTATTTGAAAAATTTATGAGAAAATTAAAAAAAGTTAGTCACACATAAAATACTATTCATGTTTTATCATCTAATAACAATAAAAATATTAATCGTAAAAAAATTTTCAAATAAGACGAACGGTCAAACGTTAGACATGAACAGTGCAAAACGGAGGGAGTAGTAAAATTATGCTGATAAATGAGCCAGTATATATCTAGTACTAGTACATGCATATAATATAGGAGTTTTTTTTTTTAGAAATTTTATAATATAGGAGTATCCTTGTATTTTTTTTTTCTTCTTGGGGAAAACATATTTTTTTTGTTGAACTTACATACTGGAATATATGAAGGTGATAGAGGGGCAAGCAGCCGTGAACCGGTGCACGGCGGCGGTGGACTTCATGGAGGATAAGCTCCCGCCATACCCAGCGACGGTGAACGACGAGGAGATGTACGCGCACGCCAAGGCGGTGGCGGAGAGCATGCTCGGGGAGGCCAACGTGAAGCTGTCCCCACAGGGCATGGGGGCGGAGGATTTCGGGTTCTACGCGCAGAGGATCCCGGCCGCCTTCTTCGGCATAGGGGTCGGCAACGATGGCGGCGGGATGGCGGAGACGACGACGAAGAATCAGCTGCACTCGCCGCACTTTGTCGTCGACGAGGAAGCGCTCCCCGTCGGAGCCGCCTTCCACGCCGCCGTCGCCATCGAGTACCTCAACAAGAACGCCTCTGGCCCTTCAGCCTGATGCGTCCCGTCAAGGAGCTTAAATCGCCTATGCATGGCTTGGTAATGGGGTTATCTAAGACTATAATAATATCCAAAAATAATGGTCCTACTAGCTACTAGCTGCCCAAGAACAGGCCGTTACAAAAACGTGTAAAAACTATTCCAGTTGGTCAGCACAAGCAGTGATAATAAATTCCCGGATTGTTTTCTTTTACTTCGTCTGCCATGGCCTCATGGGTACGACGAGCGAAACCAGCCGCTCCATTTTCCAAACTAGTCTCACTACATTACTTCTCGAGACTATACATATTCTCCTCGTTGGCAAACACACAGGATAGGGAAAAAAAAGTAGAGTAGGCGAAATTATAGATGGCCAAAAGGTCCAAGGCCCAACGGTTCGGTCCACGGCACGGTATTTTGACTCGGCCCAAGCACGACACGGCCCGACGAGGGTCAGGCCTATGCCGGCCTGGCCCGACCACCGGGCCATGCCTGGGCTCCTCCACCAGCACGTTGGGCCAGCCTGGCACGATGGGCTACAGGCTAGGCCCGACACACAAACAATAGGGAGTAACAATAGATATATTATATGCCACGATCGAAAGAATAGAGATATAAAATAGACTTATTTAGTTATATATATGTCAGTCTAAAGAGAAGGGAAGAAAAATAGACTTATTTTAACTATATATGTCACAGCTCAAAGAGGAGGGAGAAAAAATAGACTTATTTATTTAAAAATAGGCACGATAGGCCACCCGTGCCTTCGGGCCGGCCCAACTACTGGTGGGCCGTGCCTGGGCCAAAGGTGCAGTCTATGGGCCAGCACGGCCTGGCACGAAGTACGGCCCGATGGCTGGTAGACCGTACCTGGGCTGGGTCATGCCGTACGGGCCTTTTGGCCATCTATAGACGAAATGCAAGGTTTCTGCCTTTCTGGTATTTGGAGCAAAACTTTTTCTGCTCCGAGAATACTGCTCAAAACTAGTTGACAGTTGGACCTAAACTATGCTAACCTCTTGTATGTCAAATGCACGTATGTTAGTCTACAGGCTTTGAAAAAAAATGGCCCTACCTAAAACACAATTACACAAACTAAAGCCTGTGGTAGTGATACAGTATCCTCAAGTAACGGTTCAAACATTTGATGTGATATTTTTGGCTAAATTTTTTTAAATCTAAACACACCCATAAACAAGCTAGCATTTTCTGACAAACAAGTTTAAGCCAGCACTCTAAGGCTGTGTTTAGTTTGTGGTCCAAAATTTTTTTAAGTATACGGACATACATTTGAAGTATTAAATGTAGACTAATAACAAAACAAATTATAGATTCCACCTATAAATTGCGAGACGAATCTATAATTCTAATTAATATGTCATTAGCAAATGTTTACTGTACCACCATATTGTCAAATCATGGCGTAATTAGGCTCAAAAGATTCGTCTCACGATTTACATGCAAACTGTGCAATTTATTTTTTTTTGTCCACATTTAATACTCTATGCATGTGTCCAAACATTTAATGTGACGAAAAAATTACAACTTTAAAGAAAAATGTTTGAATCTAAACACGGCCTAATTTCTCGGCCATCGCGTACTCATATATAAATCGTACGTACTCAAGCTGTTGGGCAGATCATCAGTTCACTGGTTAGCTAGCGCGCGCGCGGCGCCAGGCAGTGAACCCTGTGATCGAGCGATCGAGCTAGCTAGACTTCCAGTTCCAGCACGAGCAGCGATGTCGACGACGCTGGGGCGCGAGCTCCTGGAGGCGGCGAGGGCGCCGGAGTTTGCGGGGTGGCTGCGCGGCCTGCGCCGCCGCATCCACCAGCACCCGGAGCTCGCGTTCCAGGAGCACCGCACCAGCGCGCTCGTGCGCGCGGAGCTGGACGCGCTCGGCGTCGCGTACGTGTGGCCCATCGCGCAAACCGGCGTCGTCGCCACCGTCGCCGGCGCTGCCGGCCCTGGCCCCGTGTTCGCGCTCCGCGCCGACATGGACGCGCTCCCCATCCAGGTCAATTAATGCGCTAGCTCTAGCACCATTATATCTTATGTAAATCGTACCTCTAAATTGTTTTATTAAGGTTCAAGAAGAAAGAATATGATACCTCTTACTAAATGGTGTATAGGTAATAGTAGAAGGTACTAAATGGTGTATAGGTAATAGTAGAAGGATACTTGATGGTAAAATATAGAGAAATTTAAATGATACTCCCTCCGTTTCACAATGTAAGACTTTCTAGTATTGCCCACATATATATAGATGTTAATGAATACAAACACATACATATGTCTAGAATCATTAGCATCTAAATGAATGTGGGCAATGCTAGAAAGTCTTACATTGTGAAACGGAGGAAGTAGGTGATTAGTGTGAGTATTACTATTCTTTTGTGACAATTATTTTAGGATAAATTTAAATATTAAAAATACAATTATTATATATGGGATATATATAGTATTATTATACTACACTGTACGAGAGCTACCACATTATTCGAAGATCATAGTGGACCAAATTATAACGATGTAATTTAATTGCAATAGTTGTACATATATACAATCATGTACTCCATCCGTCCCAAAATAAGTGCAGCCATGGTTTTCCGCACTCAACTTTGACAACTCGTCTTATTTAAAAAAAATTTAAAAAAAAAATAAAAACATAATTCATGAGTAAAGTAGTATTCATGTTTTATCATCTTATAACTACAAAATTGCTAATTATAAAAAAAATCAAATAAGACGGATGATCAAAGTTAGGCGCTGAAACTCATGGCTGCACTTATTTTGGGACGGAGGTAGTATATAGAAAAAGAAGATAATATTTGTATATTAAATTTAATCATACTTTAATGCATATTATTATTATTATTATTATTATTATTATTATTTAACAAATGTAATTAAATTTATTAGTTCTCAATCAATCAATAGAAAATTAGCCACGCTGGTCTCACCCGGCCTTTTTTTATTATTTTTTTCGTGATACCAACCTATTTTTTTAAAAAAAAAATCGTGATGTTGCTAGGCTAGCTAGCTACCTGTGAATTATGATGGCTAAGTTTATTGGCATTTAATTGGCAGGAAATGGTAGAATGGGAATTCAAGAGCTTGGAAGATGGAAAGATGCATGCGTGTGGGCACGATGCTCATGTCGCAATGCTGCTGGTAGCTGCTAAGCTGCTGCAATCACGCAGGGATCATTTCAATGTACATACATACAACACCACCTAGTTTTTTTTAATTTAAAAAAGACCAATGTATAATACTCCCTCCGCTTCATTTTAAGCGCTCCATCTTATTTGGAATTTTGTATGATTAGTATTTTTATTATTGTTGTTAGATAATAAAATATGAATAGGAACTTTATACATGACTAATGTTTTTAATTTTTTTTTAAAAAATTAAATAAAACGAATAATTTAAGTTGAACACCATGACTGCGCTTAATTGGGACAGAGGAAGTAGTACTAGTTTAATTTCAAAATGCAAGCTGATCACTATGGAGATTAGAGAAATAAAAACAGTCCTGTCACTACAAAATAATTAGGGGAAGGTGAAGCTTGTGTTCCAACCGGCGGAGGGGGGCGCCGGCGGGTACCATGTGCTCAAGGAAGGCGTTCTGGACGACACGCAGACCATCTTCGCCGTGCACGTCGCCACGGATTTGCCGGCGGGCGTAGTGGGCTCCAGGCCAGGTCCGTTCCTCGCCGGCTCGGCTCGCTTCACGGCGACCATCACCGGTAAAGGCGGCCACGCGGCGGAGCCCCACCTCGCCGTTGATCCCATCGTGGCTGCCTCTTCCGCCGTCCTCAGCCTCCAGCAGATTGTTGCTCGCGAGACCAATCCACTCCAAGGCGCGGTATGTGCGGTACATTAATTCATTAATTAACTCGCTCTTCTATACTACAGTGTTATAACCCTCCCCTATACTTTCCACTTCTACATTGTTACTTCAACCCATTAAACTCTATAAATTAACATGCAAATGTGATACACTATCATTCATTAACAATTATCACATCTTAAAACTCGTACAAATACATCACATCATCTACTCCCTCCATCTAATATAAGCTCACATAATATTAGATGTTGTACTATGAAATATCATATTTGATCCTAATGTATTTATATTAGAATGGAGAGAGTACAATTTATTACTCCCTCCGTTCCAAAATATAGCTATTTTTAGCTATGAATCTGGACACACATGTATCCAGATGTGTGTCTAGATTCATAGCTAAAAATAGCTATATTTTAGGACAGAGGTAGTATATATTAGAGCTTAACATATGCTAGCATGATACGTGAATCATTCTTTCGATGTCATTTTCATAATGTTTCAACATATATCAATAGATCATTTTCATAACATTTAATGTACATATTTCACGGGAAAGCACGAACACCATCTAGTAAAAAAAGAAATCATCAAGTTAGTTGCGTGCAGTGTGTTCAACTGTATCCCGTTATTTATTTATACTAAAATAAGGCTGTGTTTGAGGGAGAGGAGATTGAGAGAATTGGGAAGATACGCAAAACGAGATGAGCCATTAGCGCATGATTAATTAAGTATTAACTATTTTAAATTTTAAAAATGGACTAATATGATTTTTTAAAACAATTTCATATAGAATTTTTTTTTGCAAAAAATACATCGTTTAGTAGTTTGGAAAGCGTGCGCGCGGAAAACGAGTGACAATCTACCCAATCTCTCCCCAATCTCTTTTGAAAGAACGCAGGCTAAGTGTGTTTCACGTGTCTGAACAATGCATGTAATGCAATAATTAATGATGAACAATTAACAAACAGTGATGCACATGCATTGTTGGGTCTTGCATGCAGGTGGTGTCTGTGACCACCATCAAAGGAGGTGAAGCTTTCAATGTCATTCCGGAATCTGTCACTCTGGGCGGCACCTTGAGGAGCATGACAACCGATGGCTTGTCTTACCTCATGAACAGAATCAGAGAGGTAGTAAAATTGTGCTGATAATCAGAGAAGTACTAGTACATGCATATAATGTCTTTTTTAGTTTTTTTTTCTTCTTGGGGAAAACAGAAATTTTTTGTTGAACTTACATACTGGAATATATGAAGGTGATAGAGGGGCAAGCAGCCGTGAACCGGTGCACGGCGGCGGTCGACTTCATGGAGGATAAGCTCCGGCCATACCCGGCGACGGTGAACGACGAGGGGATGTACGCGCACGCCAAGGCGGTGGCGGAGAGCATGCTCGGGGAGGCCAACGTGACGGTGTCCCCAATGTGCATGGGGGCGGAGGATTTCGGGTTCTATGCGCAGAGGATCCCGGCGGCCTTCTTCGGCATAGGGGTCGGCAGCAACGGCAACGATGGCGGCGGGATGGCGGAGACGACAAAGAATCAGCTGCACTCGCCGCACTTTGTCGTCGACGAGGAAGCGCTCCCCGTCGGAGCCGCCTTCCACGCCGCCGTCGCCATCGAGTACCTCAACAAGAACGCCTCTGGCCGTTCAGCCTGATGCGTCGCGTCAAGGAGCTTAAATCGCCTATGCATGGCTTGGTAATGGGGTTATCTAAGACTAATACTTTCTCTGTTTCACGATATAAATCATTATAGCATTTCCTACATTCATTTAGATATTAATGAATCTAAACATATATAACATCTATATATATATATATGGACAATGCTAGAAAGTCTTACATTGTGAAACGGGGGGAGTAATATCCAAAAATAATGGTACTAGCTGCCCAAAAACAGGCCGTTACAAAAACGTGCAAAAACTATTCCAGTTGGTATTAGGCGAAATGCAAGGTTTCTGCCTTTCTGGTATTTGGAGCAAGACTTTTTCTGCTCCGAGAATACTGCTCAAAACTAGTCGATAGTTGGACCTAAACTATGCTAACCTTTGGTATGTCAAATGCACGTACGTTAGTCTACAGGCTTTGAAAAAAATGGCCTACCTAAAACACAATTACACAAACTAAAGCCTGTGGTAGTGACAGTCTCCTCAAGGTAACTGTCTCTTCACGAACTCCCGATATATCATATCGATGAATTCATCATTCTGCCAGAAGCAAATTTCACCCGTGAGTAAAATTTCTTAGTTAAGAATGGAGTGTGAGCAAAATTTTGGATACATAAGCGTTTTTGAGGAAATGCATTGGAAAAACAAACCATGTTAGAGAAGTCTAACGCAAAACTATGCAAGCAAAAAACTATGGTTGACACTTGACACCATAAAATCATTTAGAGGATAAAGCACACCAGAATCATGTGGACCCAGTAAAGGTTGAGCGAAAATCGGCGCCAATTTACACGGCTAAATAAACAAAAGGATTCAAGAACATACCTGACAAAGACTCAGTAGCACATCCTTCAGTTGGTCTCTTGTGATCACTGGGCGGCCATAAGACACTCCCGAGGTAAGAAATGGGGAAGGGTTGGGCGGTGGAAATGGCTGCAGTAATGGCATGCCATATGGTGGTTGAATGGACGATGCAGTCGGTAGGGAGAAGGGCTGGTGCAAGGGAGCACTTTGAAGCTGCTGAACGGTAATGGGAGGATGAAGAGGAGCAGCAGAACACAATGACGAAGCAGCATGAGAAGCTGTCTGCAAAGATGGCATCGGAGGAAAGAACAACGGATTTGCTAGACTTGTAGGCTGGATGGTAGAAGTGCTACTAGATCTATGAGCATCATGGGGCATCACAGGAACTGCTGAAATTTGAGAAGGATGCAGACCATGCAAAGCAGGAGATTGTGGTGGAATAGCAAGATGCGATGCATGAGTAAGTGAATGAATCATCCCAACAGATTTATTTGACTGTACTGCAGGAGATTGTGGTGGGATATCAAAAGGTGATGCATGAGTAGATGAATGAATCATCCCAACAGATTTGTTTGACCGTATTGCAGGAGATTGTGGTGGAATAGCAAGAGGTGCCTGAGTAGATGAATGAACCATCCCGAAAGATTTATTTGACTGTATTGCAGGAGATTGTGGTGGAATAGCATGAGGTGACGCATGAGTAGATGAATGAACCATCCCAACAGATTTGTTTGACTGTACTGCACTTGCTTCGTCCATGGTAGCACCAACACATGCAGCACCCTGATCAAAGAGTTTTCAATATTCACACATAAAATCTATTTTCTCAGGAAAATTGCAAAATGATCCTAGATTGCTAAGCATCAGATAAATACGAACAAGGTCAATAAGAGATGTCAATTTTCCTCACCTTTAGCAAAGCCGACAAGAAATCATACTTCGCATTATCCAGCAACATGATAGATGACGTTGGCTGTTTTAGAGTATCCTCATTCGAAGGAACAGCAGGCACTACTTCCGGCTTTTCATACTCACTGAAAGGAGCAAAACAAAAGAGAATTTCACTATAATTGACAGCCTCAGTTCCTCATTGATTTTGGGTAACATTGTTCTGAATCGAAGGGATCAATTCGACCCAACTAGATACCACAGTGAATCTGCATTTCCTTCTTGTTCCCTACAATTTACTGAACTAACTCATTTTTCCTTTGAATCATCCAGTAGCAGTTCACATGGAGCATCACCTGCTCAAAATTTTATTCCTGCAATTTTTAAGCTTGTGATCTAAAAAGGCCCTCATATTGCAAACTAGGAAAAAACTCTTTTCAACTAGGATATTGGTAAATAACACTCTTCAACGATTTTTTTTTCTTTTAGGAATGAATTTTGTTCAGGTTAGAATTACATTAGATGAGAAAACAACTATAATAGGTACGTACAACATTGATCTGTGAGCAATGACCATATACGAAATAGATATTTAATCTTAATAAGGAAGTGATTTCTAAATAACAAATAATATAATGTCTGAAGCAAATAACAATAATTCATTATCACCTCATGTCTAAGCAATTGGTACAAGTTACATCCACTTGCAAAGGTGAACAGGAAAGAAAATGCATGACAGTTTCAAATACCTTTCAGTTACAGAAACCTTGGCCTTTGGGGACACCCTGGAAAATGCCTTCTGTATCCTGTACCATTGCAAATGAGGTGTATAGTTCAGCAGGCATGGGGGGAGAACACACAGAAGAGTTACAAAAAAATGATGCCTTGCCCTTCATAATGTTTTGTATTGCCAAGCCAGTGGACGCAAGCAACAAACTACCAGTCAGTCAGTAGAGTAAGATTTTATATAGAAATATTATGAATATTGACTAAACTACTGTGTGACTTACTACAGCCACAATTTTAAATAACAAAACAGCTTGTTCAAACTTCAAAGCCAAAAACAAAGACAGCTGAAAGTATGAGCCGGTAGTGGTTTATCTTGCTACACATTTTGTTATATTAGAAATCATGTTTTACATATTTGGCACCAAGGCACCAAATTTAGTTGTGATGTGACAAGTGAGACAACTCCTAAGAGAAATTCTTTCGGAGCAGACCTCCAGTAGTACTGAGATGCATGCTTACAGAGAATTGGAGAGTTAAAACTTGAAAAACTGAATAACATTATATACGGAAACTGCACAAGATAGCATGTACTAAAGGCCTAAAGTGGTGCAGTAATAGGGTGGATAGAACAGCAGGCCATTGCATGATCAGAGAAAACAACACAGTTCTTATGGATGCCAGATACACGGGAAGTATCATGCAGCCCAGCAGGCTTACAACTTGATGGTTTGGCAGCATTGCTTTCCTGAAAGATACCATGACTCACAGAGCACTGAAAACCTCAACACGTCTCCTAAAAACCACATTGCTACACTAGGCTTTAGTGGGCTTTACAGTGAATGATAATAGAGAAGGGCCATATCAGTGTGCACATAATTGTAATTTAGCGGGTCATATCAGTGTATTGATAATTGCAATATATTAGTTCAGTAACTCCAGTTTTCGACAGGCAGATACCTTATCAAACATGGAATGCCAAATAGACCAATATAAAATCAGTTCTCTTGTTTATGTTGAAAAAACGCCTACCCTGAGAAGCAAGACATCTGAAACAAGCCTACTAATGATCTCCACAGATCAAAACAATGCTATTGATGAAATTTAGTGACATATGAAAGAGAAAATGATTACCTACTGAAAAGATATCCAACTTGTTCACATTCCTGAGGATCATAGAACCAAATTCCTGTGATTTCGTCTGCAGCATTGTGGTACATGATGTAAGGGACTTGTACTTGATATTCAAAACCCCCCAAGAGATCTTCGGTCAGATTTTCTGTTCATAGGAGGAAATGGGGAGGACAGCATAATCTACATAATCAATCTCCATACTAGCATACAAAGTAAGCAGAAATCGGAAACCACAAAATCACTTAACTAGGATATGGAAGTTAGTGTTTTGAGACCAAAAGCATGATTCCGTAAGATGAAAGTGAGTGAGCTAGCTTTGTACTGATGTTACGGCCTTACAGGATGCACCAATTTTTAACAATTTATTCAAGTCCATACAAGTGTTTTCTATCATGGATATGTGCTTCAAAACAATACATAGTTTAGTCGTCCAAGGGACTACAAGCAAAAACATTTGATTACACACTGATATGGCATAACAGAAATGAACAGGAAGCATTAGTTTCATCATTTTACATTGTAATTAGAGTAGACAGTGATTCAAAGAACAGATAGCTTCGATTTTAGGATGCCTTAGGTTCGGGACTTAAGGTTATATCAGATGATACTGCCGGAGCATGCCGATGTAGATATATTACCTGTATTTTTACGATTCATGACAATAAACTGGAATCTGGGTTGGGTGTTCCTGAAAGAAGAAAATTTTGGTGTTAAAAAAGCAATGAGCAATTTTAGACAACCAGCAGATGCAAACACGTCAGGGTTCACAGACCCAAAAGTTAAGGGACTTCTGGCCTTAAGTATTACTTATTAAACATAGAGTGTCAATAGTAGTGGGTGACAAAAATTGTCAGCACGATACTTGCATAAAAATTGGATCCTTCTGTGTTGAATATTGATATTTATAAGAAAAATGTTTTCCTGAACCTGCTGTCCAATTCCAAAGTATTCTATATTAGCTGTATGTTATGAATAGGCACTCCCTCTGATTCAGAAACATGCATCACTGTATCTACAGGTAATCAGCAGAAAGAAATGATCCAATGTAGGCATGTACTATTCAGATCGACTAGAAATTCGTAAAAGCATCTAAAACCACCAATACTAATCAGCTTGTGAATATAAACACCAAAATAAAACCTACCCCCAAAACTCAGTGAATGGTACTGCAAATGCCACATCAATATGCACATCAACATTTAACAATGCAATGTCCCATCTTATAGTTACTTGATTCAATTCTTTAGGAATGGCACGTGTATCAGAAACAACAATAAGTAACGACAGTTCACACTACCCCTGGCAATCAGATTCTAATACTCTTTGTTATGCAGGAAATTGCTGAATCACACAACAAAACACAATATAAGAACCGAACCATGATGCCGTTATTTTCCAGAAGTTCATTACGATGCCCTTTTCAGAAATTCCAAAAACATCGGCATTATTGATCAGATCGGCAGTGAGCAACTAGTTCATGGGAATCATGCAAAGCGTGTCCGCAGAAAAAAAAAATCCCAACCACGCTAATCCACAACAGCAACAGACCATAATCAGCTAGAACCAAATCCACCAGCTAGGGTGAGCGCGAAACCTCTTGACGACGAAGAGCGACCCCTCCACAGGCCTCCGGCTCTGCAGAAAACGCGCGCGCGTGCGCCGAGAGCCACAAAAACGAATCAGAGTCGGGGCTTTGGCGCGGGGGGAACGTAGGGTTAGCACCAGAGTTATACCCATTGGTGGATGTTGTCGTCGAAGCTGTAGAGGACGACGTGCGCGGCGATGATGAGGATGTCGGCGACGGCGGGGTCGAGGCGACGCAGCACCGTGAGGTTGAGCGTCCGCGTGCCCTCCTGGTCGCTCGCCAGGTCGGGCCTCACATTCAGTCTCCTCCACCTCCCGCCTCCGCTCCCGCCGCGCGCCATGGCCGCGCCCGCCCCCCTCGACCTCCTCGCCGGAAACCCTAGCGGCCGCGCGGCGCGGGATTTTTTTTTCCTTCTTTCCGTGCTGGATTATGGAGCCAGGAGGGGAGGTTTTGATCACTGAAGTGCGGTGTTCTGGAAGGGGAAGAGCTCTCGCTCGCCTCCGCTTTGCCGCGCGCACTGATGGTCCGTGGGGCCAGCTGTCCTAGTGACGTGGCATATAAGTTGGGCCAGCCCATCACACTTGCAGGCCGCGATCTCGTCCAGCAGTAAGGCCAATTGAGCCAGTCCAGCAGTCCTGACATTTGGGCCCAACCCAAATGCGAGCTATAAGGCCTACATAGGAGAGGAATTGGGCCTAAGGCCCGTTCGTTCTGTCGATTTGGAGAGATATTTAATGCACGTAAAACTAAACTCGTTAGCATATAATTAATGAAATATTAATTATTATAAAATTTAAAAAATAGATTTATTTGATTTTTTAAACAATTTCTACATAGAAATTTTTTTTTGTCAAATACACACTACTTAGCCGTTCGAAAAACGTGCTAACGGAAAATAATAAAGTTGAGTTTTGGAGTTGAGAAAAATAACTAGGCCAAGGCTACTAAGGATCGAGTTCCAGGCTTCCAGCCTGATGGGCTTTTAGTAAGCCAGTGAGATGCGCGCAGTCAAACCAAGTTTTTTTTTTTTTAACCATCCGTTTAGCTTGATCACCAACCACAATGTTGAAAGGAAGCAATCAAATTGTAAAAGGGAACAGAAGCATATGATCATGTAAGATAATAAGTTCCGTAAAAAATGTAAGGTGATAAGTATTTCATTTTATTTTCAAGCAAAAAAAGAGCTGATTAAGTAGTCATCGTCAAAAGAATCTTGTCTGCAAGTGCTGGAGCAAGCTGTCCTCTACTCCTACTTTGTGTATTCATGGGACATGTTGACTTGGAAGAAGAAGAAGAGATCAAGACGCATGGACTATCAGTTGCCCAGTTGTCACTAGTAAACCAATTTGCTGGTCAAATGTTCATGTGATCCATGCATATTTCTGTAGTTCAGTATGCATAGAGAGGAGATGGGCTCATATACCCAGGATTATATTTCCCGGGAAGCAACAACGGAGTCTCCTAGCCCTATGTTCTACTGCTGCAGGTAAACAAAGCAATGATGCGATTACATGCCACGAAATCACATCGATTTCAGGGGCAAAAAGTTTTGAAGTAAGGTGATGAGTTGATGATTGATGGTATAGAATTATGATTTGAGTTCACTTACTGCCCAAGAAACCGTTCAAGTCTGCAACCATCTTCTCTAAAGTACTTATGAAAACAGTTGTCACTCGTAGAAACCCTTCATTTAACACGTGAATTTGTTAAAAAAAAACAGCTTGATAAATTCAAAAGAATTGTGAACGAATGCCGAATACCAATCACGACGCTTTTGCTATAATTATGAGTACATAGTAGCTCTGAAATCTGAATAGTTCTTTTTGCTCGTGAATCCACGAGGCTCGAGACTTGAGAATAAGATCGACGAAGCAAGCAAGCAAGGAGGGGTCCATGTCCATGGCGACCTGGACCGAGGCGGCTACTGTCTACGGGCCAACTTAATTTAGTTTAGTGGCCCTAGGCCCACTCCCCACTAAACACGGCGTTTTACTTTGTAAACGACGATGATTAAGAGTGAGAAGGGTGATAGCGTCGGCGGTCACCACGAATCTAGAGAGAGAAAAGGTGTGTGGGAAGCGTGCGATCCTCGTTCCAGCTCGAGCATGTGAGACTGAGGCTGAATTTCGTTGAATTTTCTACGAATTTCAACTGGATTTATTCTCACTCAGTGGTTTCTGAATTTTCCATCAATGCGCTCGTAATTTCAGTTACGGCATGGTGCATTGCACTGCAGTAACTGTAGCTAATATCGAAATTAAAACCATCACTGTAGCTGTAACCTGCAACCCGTGCAAAGTGCAGCATCAAACGTCGCCGGAGGCTTGGATTGATGGACTCAGTGGAGAGCGTCAGAAGTGAATTCAGCCACGTTCGTGCTGAACTGGATTGGCGATCGATCGATCGACGACGACGACGACTAATTGTTTTCAATGCGAAACTAATTGCAAACACATGGATGTAACGACTCGTGGAGACTCATTAATGCAGCAATATAAGTACTAATTCTTGTCTGTATAGTGTCAGCACTTACACTAACACTGTACTGTACCTTACAGCAACAACTCCTATAGCTAGTAGTATAGTGTACAAATTAACCTTCAGGCAAGTGGCTGTATATATATATATACTTGTATAAATAAACAGCTCACTACACTACATCTTCATGCTTAGCAAGTTGTAGTATAGTAATAGTGGTTACTGAAACTCTGAAGTCTGAAGCCATCTTCTACAGTGGGGGCTCTAACGTCTCTGAAGAATATAATAGCAGATGCTCCACAAGAAAGCAGGTAGTAGTGGCAAAAAATGCGACTATTAAAAACTAATCGAGCCGGTCAGCAGCAAGCATCGTGCAATAATCCTTTTTCGGCTCGTTCCCTTCCATCCCTTAATGCCTGTCACGGGCCCACCGACAGCGACACCTGCCGCTCACAGCATAAAAAACTAATCCAACTATAGTGTGCTAGAGTATTATAGTATATTTTATTAGGGCAGCAACTATGTTAAAACAAATACTAATATTAAAGATGATGAGCAGGAGTGATGTTCTGTTGTCAGTTGTCACAGAGATTAGTGAGAAAGAGAAAGATGAGAAAAAGGTTGGTGCAAAAAGGGGAGGAGGATAATCAGTTAAACACGCCTTGTGTGCTGCTAATAACACTCCTCCACCTACCGACTTTTTGCTCCCTCCTCTGAATAAAATTTCTTGTTTTGTTAGTTAGTGGGTTCCTTTCTTTCCCTTTTTCTTTTCTTTTGGTTGTGTTCCTTTTCGTTCCAGCTAAAAAATCTAATCGATTTCCACTCTGAACAAGATAACATAAATCAAAATCTTGTGAGGTACGTAGACCTTGATTAATCATTTGTTGGCACTCACTGAAACTCTGAAATGGCAAATAGTATCACGAGGGAGATGTTTTTTTTCTTTTTCTTCTCAGCAGCAGTAAGCAATGGATCTCTTTTCCTTTTTGACGAAAGACCGTAATTCTTAGATAAGGCGATGCTCTACTAAAACTGTTTGAAAATCTATTTAATTCTCCATCCTAGGGAAAACGAGAAGTACAACATAAAACTCTCGTGACACATACATCCGTGAATCATTCTGTCACTAGTATTTACATCACCTGAAACTCTTGATGAAATGCCAAATACTCTCCTACCATGAAACAGACAATTTCCCCAGTAGTAATGCATATATTTTATTTTCCAGTGATGCCTGATTGCCTGTCAGTGCAAAATATTTTGCTCACTATGAACAGTTCCCTACTGACTCTGAACCTAACATAAGAACAGCTGGTTAAGCAGACATCCTAACCACCTTACTCACAGTCTCACTCCGTCACTCTAATCAAGTCAACAGTCCACCCGCCCCGTGTCACCGACACTTTTCATCCCATCTCATCTCTCGTTTTCTTCCCTTCCTAGAAAAAGAAAAGAAAACCTCGTGGTTAGAAGCAAGGTATTCACCCACGGAGGAGGAAGAAACAAGGGGAGGGGGACGAAGCAAGCGTGCATGTGAGGTGGGACGAAAGAAACAGCAGCGAGAGGTGGTGGCGATGAGCTGTGTCTAGCCGAGCAAGCAGTAGACAGTAGAAGCACTAGCACAAACACAAACGCACGCGCATACACCCACCCTCACCGCACAAGGAAGGAAACAAGCCGAAGAATCCACAGCATTCTCTCTTCCTCTCTCTTCTTCCCCCATTTTGCTCTCGCCGCCGCCCACGCCGTTGCTGCTCCGTCGTTGGTAGCCTCTGCTGCTACGAGGGCGTTGGGATCTGGAGATCTGGTAGGGAGGATTGCGGGATGGAGGCCAGCGCCGGGCTGGTCGCCGGCTCCCACAACCGGAACGAGCTCGTCGTCATCCGCCGCGACGGGGAGCCCGGGGTACGCGCGCGGCGCTACTGATTTCCGGTGTCTCGCTCTGCTTGGTTGCCTACTTGCTGCTGATTTTTTTGTTCCTCTCTCTGTGTGTTTGTGCAGCCGAAGCCGGTGAAGCATACGAATGGGCAGGTGTGCCAGATTTGCGGCGACGACGTCGGCCTCACCCCCGACGGCGAGCCCTTCGTCGCCTGCAACGAGTGCGCCTTCCCCGTCTGCCGCGACTGCTACGAGTACGAGCGCCGCGAGGGCACGCAGAACTGCCCCCAGTGCAAGACCCGCTTCAAACGCCTCAAGGGTAACCTCGCCGCCCGCAATGCCCGCCGGATTTACCGCCCTCCGTCGGTTGCTCACGCCTCCCCCCGGTGGTTCTGGTTTCTCAGGTTGCGCCCGCGTCCCCGGCGATGAGGAGGAGGAGGACGTCGACGACCTGGAGAACGAGTTCAACTGGAGGGACAAGACCGACTCGCAGTATGTCGCCGAGTCCATGCTCCACGGCCACATGAGCTATGGCCGCGGCGGTGACCTCGACGGCGTGCCGCAGCATTTCCAGCCAATCCCCAATGTTCCCCTCCTCACCAACGGGGAGATGGTACCTGCCAAATCTCACGCTGTTTTTTTGCATTGCGGTTGTCTCAGCTTTCAATTGGGGTTCTCAATTTGGTTGTTCTGATGTGCCTGTAGGCTGATGACATCCCGCCGGAGCAGCACGCCCTTGTGCCGTCTTTCATGGGCGGCGGAGGAAAGAGGATCCACCCTCTTCCTTATGCGGATCCAAACCTTCCTGGTTTGTATTTGGATCATCGCAAGGCTAGCTTCTAGTTGTATTTTGGTGCTTCGGATTGACTCAATTGGTGGCTGTTGTGCAGTGCAACCAAGATCCATGGACCCGTCCAAGGATCTCGCCGCGTATGGGTATGGGAGTGTCGCGTGGAAAGAAAGAATGGAAAGCTGGAAGCAGAAGCAGGAGAGGTTACACCAGATGAGGAATGATGGCGGTGGTAAAGATTGGGACGGCGATGGCGATGATGCAGATCTACCACTGTATGACACTGGAAACTCGTTTGACTTTTAATTTGTTTGGTGCTTCTCTGATAGG